CGTTTTTGGTGGCCCACCCTGACCCGGGATGTCAAGGACTTTGTTTCAGCCTGCACCCGTTGTTGCCAAGCCAAGGTCTCACGTCGTCCCCCGTCAGGCCTTCTCCGGCCTCTGCCTGTTCCCTCCCGGCCCTGGTCTAGTTTGTCAATGGACTTTGTCACTGGCCTCCCTGTTTCTAAGGGCAATTCCGTTATCCTTACCATTGTGGACCGCTTTTCTAAGATGGTCCACTTGGTCCCCTTACCTAAACTCCCCTCTGCTAAGGAGATGGGCTTCATCCTGGCGAGGGAGGTTTTCCGGCTGCATGGCCTCCCCTCCGACATTGTCTCAGACAGGGGTCCTCAGTTTGTGGCCCGTTACTGGCAGGAATTCTGCTCTTTACTGGGGATCTCAGTCAACCTCTCCTCTGGTTTTCACCCCCAGACCGACGGTCAAACGGAGAGACTCAATCAGGAGGTCGAAGCTAAACTTCGGCTTCTATGTGATTCTGACCCCACTACTTGGTCCCAAAATCTGCCTTGGGTGGAGCATGCCATCAATTCCACACCCTCCAGTTCCACCGGGCTCTCTCCCTTCTTTGTTGTTTACGGCTTCCAGCCGCCAGTGTTTTCCGTCATGGAGAGGGAAGCCAGGGTCCCGTCTGCCCGCCTTTCTGCACTAAGGTGCCAGCGTGCCTGGAGAAGGGCTAGGAGGGCTATACTTACCTCCTCACAGTCTCAGGTACGGGCAGCCAATCGCCGACGCATTCCTGCTCCTCTGTATCAGCCTGGGGATAGAGTTTGGCTTTCCACCAGAGATCTTCCCCTCAAGGTAGAGAGCAGGAAGCTGGCTCCTCGGTTCATTGGCCCCTTCCCCGTCTCCAAGGTCATCAACCCGGTGGCGGTCCGTCTGCGCCTTCCCCCGTCAATGAGGGTTCACCCTACGTTCCATGTGTCCCGGGTTAAGCCTGTCAAAACCTCCTGCCTTATGCCCACCTCCAGGCCCCCGCCTCCCGCCCGTCTGGTTGATGGTTCCCCAGCCTACACGGTGAGGCGCATTCTTGGGTCCAGGAAGTGGGGGAAGGGTCTTCAGTATCTCATTGACTGGGAGGGCTATGGTCCGGAGGAGCGACAGTGGGTACCTTCCCGGCACATCCTGGACAAATCTCTCATCAGAGATTTCCACAGTACCCACCCTGACCAGCCTGGGGCGTCTGGAATCCGCCCTTGAGGGGGGGGCTCTGTGACGTTCTCGGCACTGGTGCTGGCTTAATCTCCAACTCCTCACACCTGCTCACTCCACCCTGCCTGTAATTGTCTCTAATTGGTCCCACCTCTATATATAGCTCATTTGGATCTGTTCCCAGTGCCAGATCGTCTCAAACCAACTATTGAGTACCTTCCAGCTTATCTACCTTTTGCCTGCCTACCTGTTACCTGACCTGTTTTTGCCTTTTTCTCCGAGCCTGCCAGACCCCTTATCTGATCCTGACAGCCTGCCCTGAATCCAAACCAGTTCTGCCTCTGAATCCTTGCACCAGTTCTGCCTTGGATTGCCTGCCTCTGAGCCTGAACCCCACTCAGTCAGTGAGTAACCTAGTCTGCCTAACTCTTGGCTTCTCTCAACCTGCCAGTAAACGGACCCTCGAACGGACCTGGACTTCTCTTCCGGATTGCCCCTCTGTACCTTCGCTCGGACCCCACCTCTGAATCCACAAACAAACTGTCTCTGGAGCTCATCGGTCTCAGTCCTCAGCTAATCATCCACCGCTCAACAGCCGCCGTTTCCACAAGCCCCTTCATCACACGGACTCCTGCCCCGGACCCTAAGCGATGCCAATCGCCCACTCTGCGACCCAGTAACAGGGGATTTCCTGACTGAGAGCCGCCTGAACGCCCCCTGCGCCTTCCATTATAAATAAAAACTATTGCATTCCACTTACCGTTCTGAGCTGTTTCCTGGGTCCATAATCCTGTACGTTACAATTCTATTCTATTCTATTCTATTATTTTATATAATCAATTTCTAGTGCATTGACGAGTAACATCCAAACAATTTTCCCACTCTGATTTGGGATACATATTGATCCAAGTTGGACTGGACAAAAGAAAAATGTTAAAAAGAGATTTTAAAATGCTGTTACAGTTTGTGAAATAGATTAAGGTCTGGCATTTGTCTGGGCCAACACACACATATGATTGGTTACAAACCCTCATCTTTTTAGCTCCTGCTTTATGTTTAAGGTTGTTATCCAGCTGTAAGGTGCTCCTAAAATACCTTTTTAATGAAATATCTTGTATTTACATCAAATCCATATTTCCCATCAGATCTCACCATTACTGAGAGGAAGTCCCCCCACAGCCTGATTCTGCCACTGCCATGGTTCTGTACAAAAGGAGTGTTTATACATATTCTCTGGCTTTTGGGCAAAAAAAAGGTTTTGTTTTGATGTCATTTGAATAAGGCACTGTCTTCCTCATATTTGTGTCCACTATATGACCCATTTTAGCTAACTGCTAAAAAGATTTGTTATATTTGTTTTCACCAGTTACCTTTTCTTGCCACTCATCCCAAAACGACAGATTTGTGGAGTTTACAGCCTCTATACAAACCACTTGAATTATAAAAAAAAATAATAATTTTGCTTCTTTTATTCCTGGAATGAATGCATACTGTTATAAGGAGAAAAAAAGCATGGGCCCCTCTCTCGGGGTAAACCCATCCCAGGGCGCCCTGCCCTTCACAAAGAAAGGAGAAATCTCCTGCCAGCTTCTCCGGGTTTAATGGCGTTACCGCACTTAATCCTCCCTTTCACTGATTTTTCAGGAAGTTTAAATCGTTTTATTAAAAATTCCTTTAGTTATTTATAAACTGGATTGTTTAATTTCCTATGAAGTTTCAGAATTGTTTTTCTTTTAAAAATTATATAGAAATAAAATACTATCACCATTTAAATGTTAATATAAAGACAAAGAGCTTGTAAATGTTTCTCTTTGGGAAGAAGGCGATTTCCTGAAGATCTGCTTCTAATTGCATTATGCACAAGTACAGATCTATAGATATGAGCATATAGTTAAACCCTTACGTCTACACTGTCACCAAGTCTGGATTACAGAGAAATATCACTTTTTAAGACTTTTCTGTCTGAACAGAAAGATTTATTTATTTATTTTTTGCCGTGCACACCTGTAGCCAAATTTACTTCTTTGTCCCATTAGGAACGTTTCTTTTCCAGTTTTACTTTCTATGTAAATGATTTCATCTTCTATATTTGTTTCAAATTAGTAGAAAAGTGTGTATGAAAAGTGGTATGCTGATTGAAGATTTCCCACTGTCTCAAAAAAAAAAGAAGAAAAAAAAGGTGAAGTTGTGAATCTCCTGCTGATCGCTTTAAACATTAAGTCAAAAATCCTCCATCCCTTAAAGTCTCATTGGGGTTTAGGAAAGGAGATTCTTATTTTAGGTTGATAAAGCACTTCTAATGTCTCTTCTTAGTCAATGAGATCCTGTTGGTTACAATGCAATTATAATAGGGAAAAAAGTTTTATTTAACAAGAATTCATTCAATCAGCATTTATTAAGCCTTGCAAGAGAGAACATGCAAGCTTTACCAATGTTTTGTATGGTTTTGTTTCAGAAAGGTTTTCACTAACTACTAAAACTCAACTGAAGGGCTGCCAGTGTTTTACATACAGCTGTTGCAAAACCTGATACAAGCAGTTCCCACAAAGAGATGGATGTTGAATAACCTTGAACATGGGGGGAGTTTTACTCCACTCCAAACATCCTGTAGCTTCTACTAAACAAGTTCTTAGGCATCAGGAAGATAAGCCTGGACTCTTATCCAAAAGTCTAACCTGTGTGTGTCTGCCCAGACGAACATTTTTGTGCAATAAAGAAACAAAATCAAGCTTACATTCTGGAGAAGGCTGAGAAACAAATTAATAGAGAAATGTTTTTTCCCACCACAATGCACAGGCAGATTTTTATTCGAAACAATTCACATATTATTACCTGCCATTTCACAATTATGCACCACCTTGTGTCAGTCCTTGTCATAATATTGTAATAAATATATTAATGCTGATGAGAAAAAAATATTTACTTTTTGCATGACTTGTGTTTTTAGAGTAGATACTGAATTTGATATCAGTGTGTAACATATCAATATAGTATTAGTGTACATTGAGATAAAATGTTCATTTTACAATATTGAATAAATATGTTTATTAGCCTCTTGATATAATTATAGATTTGAATTCCAGCATCATACAATCCTTCAAAAAGAATACGTGTCTGTCTCTGTTACATAAATAAAACCTTTCAGTAGTCCAGTAATCCTAGGTATATATAGGATTGCGTTTAGGCAGGCACTAAGACCCAGCAGAACGTTCAGAGGTTACACACGGAGAAGCCAGTTAGTTGAATGGGAGCATGGCTCAGAGCCAGCATTGGACAGGACAGCCAAGGAGAAGCATATCACATTACACTGGGTGCACATGCCTGGAGAAAGGAGCCGATAGACGCTGCTGCATGCAGAAGCATTAGCCTAAGTCAACTACTATCCGTTCTCTTCCTTTACAGTCTCTTCATGCACCAAAGATGGTGCCTGTGAGATAATCTGTAAATGCAACAGGGGGATTTTTTTTAACCCACTTGTCACATTATGTTGTGGATTCCCTTTGAAGTATGACTCTGTCGATATTGTGCCTGAGCTGGAATGAAAAAGATGGAAAATCTTTAATTCTGTCTTGCATGTAGAAGCCCAGAATACATTACTGCAGTTCATTAAATTTACCCTCTGCTCTTAAAGATTTTTCAGATGCATATAATTTGTCAAGTTGTATAACTGAATTCACTATCGCTACTCATAAAGCACAGTCATATACATTTTGGTTTAGTCCTAAAGAGCACTGTGTTGAACATGGAAAAAAGCCACTGTTAACCAACATTTATATTATAAATTTTTTTAATGTCCTGTACAGGGATGATGCCTGAATTTAAATTTCATTATTTTGCAGGTATGGGAAAATTGTGTCTACCAAGGCCATCTTGGACAAGACGACCAACAAATGCAAAGGTGAGATGTCAAAAAACATTCCTTCCTGATTTTAAGTTAAGCCAAAAATTATTCATTCCATGGGTTTAGGAAAAGAATAGCATAATATTTTATTTTCCAACAGAGAAATTAATGTATGTCAGCAAGTAAGAGACATTCATGAAAAGTACCAAAAATAAAAAACAGTGAACTGTGCAGGAAAGAAAAAAAAAATGGATTTGTTACAAAATGACATTCATAGATCAAATGGAAGAAATGTTTATGATAAAAATAAAACGGTTGCCTATATACAAAATTGGATTAACTAGTAATTAAAGTATGAATGTTAAAACAAACACTTAAGCAGCAGATAAAGTGCGTAGGGAGAAGTCATTGATACATGACAACCCTTTATGAGAATACAAAAACAGTTCAAATAACAGCATGGGTGTAAGAAGCATTCTGTCATCAGATAAACTAATTACATTTAACCAAGAATTTTGCTTCTGATTGGAGGATCCCCTATCAGATTCAGTTGAGGACTCTGGCTGGACCCCTTCCAACCATAATGTGACTTTGAGTCCTGATTACAGCCCATTGTTGATGAGCCCTCCTCTCTAAAACCTTTAGGTCTGTGTTCAACTTTCCTGATGCAACCTGTTCAAAAGGGATGTATGTGGGTGATAATGGTTTGCCTTTCATTACTTGGTGGATGCCCGCTTTAAATTAATCATAGCTGGTTGGGTTTTACAACTGAGGACAGTTTGGCTCACTGCCCAGGGCGACATCTATCAAGGGGCAGCATGAGCTCTAAAAAAAAAAACAAAACAAAAAAAACACAGGAAGTTTTAATGAGTTTCAGTTGCTACTTTGGTTCTCAAATAAAGCTGAATGCCTGCACATAGTCCCATCTGACATTTTCAGAATTTCATCTTCAAATTCATGCTTGATTTATTTTTGCTCTTCTCTTTCTATTCAAATGTACTGCTCCTATGTTATATCCTTTCTACCTACGTTTAGTACACCGGGACAGTTAATCAGTTTGGCTGCAAGTGAACCTGTCAAAAGTACCGACAAACTTTACCATGATCAGCAGTTGTACCTCTGACAGGTTAAAGAGTGGGTGTAATCTGCTCCAGAAACCAAAATCCAGCAAAGTAGAAAATCACCTTAAGTTTTGGTATATAACCATCCTCAGAGTTTAGGCACTGTAACAGTGTTTGCTGATGATGAGGTTTGTATCTGCTTCTTAGATTCTGACTTGGTTGTAAGTTAGATAACTATTTTTGCTGTGTTTGATTTTCTCAAAATCTAAAGAACCACAACTGACAAAGCAGTTTTTAAATTCAAGCCCATGTACCTGTTATTTGATATGGATCATACCTCATGTCTTAACTTATGCTTTATGTTCTGGTTTCTACAGGTTACGGCTTTGTGGACTTTGACAGTCCAACCTCAGCTCAAAAGGCAGTGACGGCACTGAAGGCTGTTGGAGTGCAGGCTCAGATGGCCAAGGTGAGAACCACCAAATATGCTGGCTTTATTTCTAACAGATTATCCGTATTTTTTTTTTTACTTTTAGCGGAATTTCAGAAAATAAAAAGTTTAACAAAATGGAAAAAAAGCAATATTTTTTTCTTTTTTATAGAACTGATTACTTTTGTCCTGTTCCAAAGATTATCAACCAATATCCCCAAGGCTACATTGCACCCACTCAATAGATAAAAACACCAGGCATAATCCAAAACACAAATCCACCATAGCACAGCTCAGGATAGGTTGTTGATGTGAGGACTATAGCCAACAGAATGATTCTGGGTCCTAAAATACATCCCAAGGAAAAACAAAGCAAAAGTATCCCAAAGGGTAATAAACTGGCTCAGAAGGATATAAAATATATGATAAAGCTGATTTGTACCATTCACTAAATGTATGTATCTGTTTTTACTTGGAGAAATACAAGAGCAATGCAAGCACCATCTATTTATGACACCAGGAAGTAAAATAAAGCACATTGATTGTAACTGCTATAAAAATGGTTAAAAAACAGTGGCTCCTTGTAATGTTTTTATTTGTTAAAATTGTCTTCTCTCAGAATAGCTATTGAAGATGTAGCATATCATGAAAAAATGGGCTTAGAAATTTAAATTTATTTATTCTATAAAGCTGTGGCCTTTGAATTTGAGTTTCTATTCAACTGCTTTACAGTAATGCGGTGTAAAACGGCGTGTTTTCCAGCCTTCCTGCTGAGAGTGCTTCATGGTTGTTTCCGTTGGGAATTTGCTGCGTGTCATTTTTTTTGCCCTGCATGTTTGCTGCACGCTGTCCGGGTCTGTTGCTAAATCTGTGACTTAATCCACCGAAGGATACGTGTGTGTTCACGGTGGTGATGGTGTCTGCGGAGTGGGTCCCAGGGGCCTCTCCCTGGGCTCCTTGTACAAAGGAGCTGCCTGTTCTCCCTAGTGGCTTCTGACTCAGTGTCTGAGCCTCTCCCCAGTCAGCAGGGCATAGTGCCCAGCCACCCGCCCTGTCAACCTACCACACACACACAAACAGAGAACTTGACAATCATGCATGCTCTCCAGCAGCCTTCCCTACACTGGATTATCACACACACTCACAGTCACGCACAGCCACCAACACCCTGGGAAAGCTGATCTCACTTTAAGCTGGATCACTGACATTCATACCGCCTCCCGCTCACAAAATAGCTCAATTTCACTCAAGCCTCGTGTTGGAGTTTACAAGAAGGCTCACGCTTGCGTCAGCACTCAGCACGCTCTCTGACTCACCCCAACACACTGACAGCTGAAGTTTGCAGCAGGTTTTCTCTGCTCATTCGCTCTGCAGAGTCAGAGCATAGAAAAAAGAGAGGAAGGTGAAGGAGAAATCACCTTCCTCATAGGTCGCAGAGATTACACATGCATTATTCATGGAATGGAAATGAACTTGCGCGGCATTAACTGGCTTTTAATCACATCTCGGATGATAAATATGCATAATAGCCGGAGGTGATACAGAGCACGCATCTTGCAAGTTATCATAGGTCATATAAAAATTTGTTTGAGCTGCACATAAAGGACAGAAGGAATGAGCTCACTGAAACACAAGTGTCTTTTTATGAATTCATTTCATTCATTTTTTTTAACACTGATCTGGATGTGCAAAATATTTTACTCTTATTTATAAAACATGTCGTTGCATATAAGGTCAGAATTAGTGATACGTTATCTTTAGCGAGGAGAAATAATGCTTCTCTTCTTAGATTAAAGAAGCACCAAGAAAGAAAATTAGAGTGTCAGACCATTCATTAAACTAATTCGAAACAGTATGACTTTAGAATTAAGTAACAGAGACGGCTTTCTTCAGTTTGATGGTTTTATACCATCATTTTCTTTATTATTTTTTAATTAATCTTTTTTTTTTATCTGATTACAAACTGAGCTATTTTTTATTGTATTAGTTGATCAAAATGCACCAAATCTCAGACATGCATGTTTCCCTGTTTTAATTTGTAAAGGCAAATATCTAGGGATGCACTTGTTGATCAACCGACTGATCGGCCCAGATTTGCTTATTTTCCTGGCTGAATAAAGTAAAAAAAAAAAAAAAAAATATATATATATATATATATATATATATATATATATATATATATATATATATATATATATATATATATCCAAAACCATTCTTTAGTTTTTACTGTTTCATTGGTTATTGTTCATGTGCTCAACTATTTTAGTAAAATATGATTGAAACATTGCATTGTGATCTTGTAACAACTGTGTCTGTTGTAGAGGAAAATTGATATGATCAAAATTGCAATCGGTACAGTGAGGTTTTTAAAGATCAGTGATCTGCTCTAAAAAATTGCAATGGTGATATATGATGATGCTATAAATATCCTTACCTATCATTTTTTATGGTGTTTTTTTAATCTCAAAGAAGCAATGAGTTAACTTCTCCATGTTTCCATTCAGTAATCATGTTGTGTCTTTGTGTTCAGCAACAGGAACAGGACCCCACCAACCTGTACATCTCCAACCTTCCCCTGTTCTTGGATGAGTCTGAGTTGGAGAACATGCTGAAACCCTTCAGTCAGGCCATTTCCACTCGAATTCTACGCGACTCCAACGGGACCAGCCGGGGGGTGGGCTTTGCCAGGTAGAAGTTTTGCTATTATTAATCACATCTAGTCCTGCTTAGGATGTGGGAAAAAAAAAACTTAAAATAAATTACATTAAAACAAATTTGAGAGAAATCAAATCTTTAATTTTATATATCTTTCATGGAAGACAATCCCAAATTAACATATAATTGTATTTTTCAAAATCGCCAACAATGATCATTAATCGCTGTTATTACTTTAGCTTTTTCTTTCCTTTAGGCTTTAGGTCTTGGGGCACTGACCTTGGAAGAGCATTGACTTTGAGTACTGGCCATTCGTTTTAGACTATTAATAAAAAAAAAAACCTTTTTAAAATCGTTTTCACAGGCTATCAATTTTAAACTTTGATCTGCTGTTATTTTTTCTGTTATTTATTATGCATTTTATGTAATGCAATGTATGCACTGATGAACAGATTCCAGTTGCTTATAGAGCAGGAATAGGCCCACAGCAGCACAGATCCTTCACCATACTTAAGAGTGGGTATGATATGCTTTTCCAAACATTTTCTATTTTTACGTCAGACCTTGGGGTACATTTTTATTTCCTAACATTAGAAATGACCTAGAATAATCGAAAGTTGGGACCTGCTGCAGGTCATCTATCAGAATCAAACAGAGGATTGGAGGCCAGCATGTTTTTTTTTCTTTTCTCTGTAAAAACCTCGATGCAGTCAGCTGGTTTTCCTTAGAAACGTTTTTACCAGCGTGACTGTATGATCTGATTAAATTGTCTCTGTAAAGTCCCTTGAGATGACATGTTTTGAATTGATGCGATATAAATAAACTGAACTGAATTACATAAAAAAGAGAGGTAGTGGATTAAGCTATTCGGAAAATTAGCGATTTTGCACTTGAAACTTTGCAAATATCCATGCGACATATCTTGGAGAGCAGCAGTTCGTAGTAGAAAAAGTTTTTTTTTTTTTTTGTACTGACTAAGTGAGGGGAAGTCCAAGCACTCTGCGATTGGTCAGAATAAAAGTAGAGTGAATCAATTGCAGGAGGAGTTTAAGATTGCTGTAGATTTTATATCACCTGCTTATTATGCATACAGAAATGGGCCTCTGTGACATTTTACATCAATACAACAGGAACAAAGCTGGTCACAGATTATCAATGAGGTTACCCCCCATTTTTTATATATTGGGGAAAAAAATAGAAAAAATAATCTGGTCAAAGATAGTAAATAGAAGTTATCTGGAGTAACAAATATTGTGAAGAAATTTAGATAAAAAAAAAAAAATCATGAAATCATTATTAACAAAATTCTTCCCACCCACTAAATAATCTCTCTTAAATAAAATGTAAAAGTTATTTTTAAGTGTTATGTGATGTTATGCTTCTATAATGAAATATCTGATATTAAGACTTTTTGCACATCTTTAACCAAATGATATTGAGGTAACAGTGATTTTTTGAAGGTTATGGTTGATTAAAATTATTTCTGAAGAAATCAAAGAAAATCAAAAACCTCTTAAGTAAGAATGAGGGTAGGTGCGCTCCCTGGTGGTCGTTTCAAGTAGCAAATGCTTTCATTACTTCTTACAGGATGGAATCAACTGAGAAATGTGAGGCTATCATTCAACATTTCAATGGAAAATATATCAAAACTCCTCCTGGAGTTCCAGGTAAGGTTCGCGATTTTTTTTCCTTTATCAGCCATTTCTTTTTGTCCTCTGTAAAAAGGAAACAAAAAAAAATTAAATAAAATCTCATATTGATTAGAAACATAGACCCTAATTAACTAAAATATTATTGGTGAAAGCAACCATGAGCTGTCATGATGATTTCTTATTAACTCCTAATTCAGCACAAACAGAGCCTCTGTTGTGTAAATTTGCTGATGGAGGCCAGAAGAAACGTCAAAGCCAAGGCAAATATCTCCAAAATGGTCGGTCGTGGACGAGAGATTCAGAAACTGTGAGTTTGTTTCGGATTTTTTAATTATTTTCCTGTAAATTAACTCTGATAGATGTCCTCCTTGTAGTTACGTAATCATTATTTCTCTTTTGTTTAGGGAGGAATGACTCTCACTTATGATCCCACCACAGCCCTACAGAACGGGTCAGTGCCACACCTCTGATCTGTCTCATGCACAGCTACAGAAACTAGGATTATATGACAATCTTGCTTTATGTCTCTTTGTTTAGGTTCTATTCCTCTCCGTACAGCATTGCTCCCAATCGGATGATTGGACCAGCCTCACTTGCCCCATACATGCCTTCCCATGTGTCCGCCTATCAGGTATGAGAATCATTTCTGAGGCAGGAAAAATAATCTCATTTATATGTACGCTATTATACTACCAATAGCTTATTAGATTGAATACAAGCTAATATGATTCAATGATTTTACGTGTATTCATAAATCAATTTAATTAAATCAAAAGTAACCCACGTTTTATTCCTGCAATAGTCAACAAAAATAGAAGAATGTTCACAAATATATTTTATAACTTCTTGATATTCCATCATAGTCATTCTACAAAAAAAAAAAAAAGTAACTTGGAAACCAAGTCCAGTGAATTGTTTTTAAAAATGTTTTTGGAATATATTCCATCTACTTTCCTAGAAACCTCCAGCTTATCCTGAAGCCCTTTGTTGCATTCAGCCACAGGATATTAACTGATAGGGGGAGGTATTTGGTCAGTGTATCGGTAGTAAAGTCTATAGGATTGTCTGTAACTTGTTCAAATTACAGATAATCTTAAATTCCTTTAACTATGGGGTATCTTGAGTTACTGTTATGGCGTCTTTGTTTTTACTAAATTACATGCTCTCCCTGTATAAAATTTTGAGTTACTTATCACAGCTATATAGATAATGTTTAATGTCTTTTTGGCTTTATCAGGTCTCTATGCTGTACTTCTTACTGTGGTGTTTAGACTATGTACTAAAAGGGGAATGGCTAAAGAAAATGTATTTCGATAAATAAATAAAAAATCCTGATGTCCTTGACTGTGCAGATACAGCTGTGTCTTTATATGCAAAATCTCAGGATCCTTGAAGTATATTTTGACTTCTGATTTCCTTTGAATGATCATCTTTTATCATTGTTTAATTTGTGTTCATATCACTTAATAATACATAGATTAAGTCGTATTGGCCCACTATCAGAATTAAAAGTTTTTATTCATTTTTTTATATGTTTGACACTTCATTATTGTGACTCATTATTCACCTACTTGGGAAAAAAAAACATCCTTGGATGACAGCGGGGTGTAAAATGCGCTGCTGCCAGATGTCTGAACAAGTTGCCAAAATATTTTCATTTTACATTGTTTCTTATGCAACTACAGCTCATTCGCTTTAGCTTGCATTAAAAGATATTGGTTCTTAGTTCCAGAACTCTAAATAGACGTACTGGCATACAAACTTTGAAATCCATCCGTTCCTAACAGATCCCTGAGGTCTCGTGTTCAGGGGATGCTGGTTGTGTCCTAAACAAGGTGGAAAAAAATTATACAGCCTTTTCACTGAACAGTCTGGAGATGCTTCCTCTTTATCCTGTTGAGTTTGAGAACTGAGGTCTATGCTGAGCTTTTAAAAATTCACTAGAACACAATCTTTCTAGAGTTATTTCCTAATATCTGCTTGCAACATTTTCTTTTCCATATATTTTTTTTATTAAGGTCCTAAGAGGTTTGCTTGAGAAATATATAAAAAAAATTGTTACTTTACTTTAACATGGGAGAAGATCTGGACCGGCATCAGGGATGCATATAACCTCTTTGTGTAAAGTGATCTTGTTGCCTGTGAACAAAATTGTTTCCAGGTTCCTTTTTTGTGTAACACAGCTTACATTTTTGATGCAACACCAGAATGTGCAGAACAACAGTGGTTGTTCTATATAAACCCCCTATATTGCTATTTTGAAAAAAAAAATAAATAATAAATATTGAATGTAAAAGCAGAATTTCTCAAAATGGCCAAACTTGTACAAGTAAAGGTGCCCTTTCTTCTTTAAAAAGAAGTAGCTTTTAGCTGTTTTCATACCATTTAAAAGTTCATGAGGCTACAGAATGCAGTCAACCAAATACACCTCTTTATCAAAACATTATGATAGCAGTCCAGAGATATTGCAGAAATCCTTATCCAGAAGTTTATACCAAAAAAAAAGATTGAAATTGTTTGTCTTTAAGAAAATGGCACTATGATTCAGATTGTTTAGTTGTTTTGGTATAAACTTTACATTACCATGAATAATCCTATTTAGATCCGTCATTTCTAGGCAATACGTCGCAGCAACATTTAAACAGTTAAACATTAAAAAAAGAAGTTAGAGAACATCAAAATATCTGGTTAAAATAAAAACCAATGATTTCTAGGATCTGTTTTCTACCAATGGGGAGATTTTAGGTCATAATGGATAATACCCTGTTTTTTGACAGTTTATCAGCATAACCAGTTCAAACTGAATGGTGCTGCAGAAGTGGTGATTTGGGCTTGTTTTACAGTCCAAGGACTTTAACAGCTTGCAGTTACTGAGTCAGTCATGAATCCTCATGTATTGTTAGAGTGAAATGACAGGATCACAAACAAGCGAACAGTGCATTTTGTTATCTGGATGTTAGAGGACTGGTGATTATCCATTTACTGATAAGTGGATTTTGGCAATGAAGGACTGCCTTACATGAATACAGTTCTGCTGTTTACTGTATCAGAGAGGACGGTACAACAAATACAATGAAAAATGTAAACAGGAGCTATATTATTCCTAAATGACAGATTTTGATATGGTTTGTTTTCTCTTCCTTATGCAGGTACACAATCCCTCCTGGCTACATCATCAGTCATACATCATGCCTCCCACAGTGAGTTTCTTTTAACCTTTTTTCCAAATTCCTCTGTCTTCACATTCTATTGCCCTCATTCCGCCCCTCATCTCCTGCCTGAACATGTCTTACCAGCTTTGTCTGTTGTGCCTTTTTCCACAGGGAGCCGTCCTCGCGTCAGGAATGGAGCACTCCATGTCCATCCAGCCGACCTCCATGATAGGACCCCTGACACAGCAGCTCAGTCACCTTTCTATGGGCAGCAGCGGCACAGTAAGTAGATGACAGGCTGCTGCTGCTGACATTTCACTCTTGAATCTCCAGTAACTATTTTTGGATTTCTGTCTCAGTGAAAACGGATGACTAAATCCATAAGTCTATGACAGCATTCAGGTTTCTTATTACCATCAAGTTAGAATAGAAACATTTAGGTCATTTTTTTACCTCTAAGTATGCTTTTCTAAAACAGCTTTTTATCCTGCAGAGGAAGACTTTACACAGCTGTATTTTTAATATCAGTCTACATTTCTTTAATGAGCTTAATGTTCTTATTTTCCCTATCCAGTATATGCCGATAAACACATCTATGCAGGGGACTTACATCCCCCCATACACCCAAGTGCCTGCCACCAACATTTCAGTTGAGGTAATGCCTTTTTATCTTTAAGTTTCATATTTAAAATCTGTGATGAACTAAATCACTTATTACTTTAATCCCTGATGTTTCTTTAAGGAAAGTGCCGTCCAGCAGCCTGTTCCCATTGGTACTCCAACAGAACACACGGCGTACTCCTACCAGCATAACAAATGAAGCCGTCGGTTTGGATCTTTGCTTTCTTTGTGTGTGCACAAATCTTCTTATACAAACATAAATCTGCTGCAGCAGAGACCGTTTTTCATTGGCTGCCCTCTGTCTCAGATCTTGCTCTGGAGCCTGGAATGACTGTCCGGGGGCCGAAGTGCTGAAACCCTGCTGTGTGACTCTTCGTGTAAAGCAGCAGAAACTTGGAGGTCAGGTGGACTCGGACTGTTTCATGTAAAGGACACAAAAACAAAAGATGTTTTCCATGAACTCATATTTGAAAGCAAAGTAGAGAACAGCGCGAAAGCAGGAAGAATGGAACATGGGGCGTCTATTTTGATAAGAACTCGAACACTACACAATTTTAAGGTTTTACATCACAAATGGGGGTTTCTTATGTTACGTCGGCAAGCTTAGAAGAAAATCAGGAACATTTTTTTTGTTTGTTTGACTTTTGTGTAAAATACGCTGAGATTATTTCCCTTTTTGTCTGATATTTTCAGCCGTTGAACTGCCTTCTTATACATTTTTTTCTTTCTTTTTCTTTCTTTTTTTTTTTTTTAAAGTTCTGATTTGTCAAAAGTATTTGATTGAAGTACTTCAAACTGACAGCTCTTTTATTCTCTTGGATAAGTGGCAGGTTTATCAGTCGTGAAGCCTTATTTAAGCTGGTTTGACTCCTATAATTTATAGTCTCGACAAAGCTCCAGACAATCACACAATAAGAAGATTAGAAGGTAGGGAAAACTTTCAGATAAAGCTGATTGATGACATATTCATCACTTTTAACTTCCCATAAAAAAGGACATACAGTAATGAAAAGGTTAGACCAAACTTGTTTTCTTAAATTCCTTCTTCTAAAAGTACCTGAAGAATACATTGAACACCCAAAAACAACAGCAAGGGTGACCTAATAGCTCTTTCCATGATTGCAGTTTCAAAGCATTCCAGATACAGAGGCATGCAAAAGATTTCTTTGAATTATTTGCTGGATTCGCAAAAGTCGTAAACTTAAAGACGGCATGTTTAATTCTGTTATTTAATTATTTCCAACAAAAAACTGTGTGCAGATTAGTGTGTGAGCTTTTTTGGGGGGCATCAGCTGAAACTCAGTTTGCACAACACATATAGGACCTAAAAAGGTACAGCCATTAACCCAGTTATCCTACATAAAACATGTTTAGGGAATCAACAGAGGGCTATTATGTAACTTCCAGAAAAACTCATGTAGTGGTGTGGGCATTTTTTTTTTTTTTTTTACATCACCTGAGTCCCTGAATGCTGGCTGTGTGGACACATCAGTTTGTGTTTTCATAAGCTTGGTCGAACATATATTGAGGTTGCTTAGCGTCCCCTTACAGTACAGCCTTGCTATGATTCGTTACAGTGCACAAAACATCCCTGGACTGCTTTTATTCATCATTAAAACAAAAAAGTCAGACTTTATTATTTTTAGAATGCTGTGTTTTCTCCACACGTTACAGTTTTATATATGAGGCTTGTGGTGCTGAAAAGTATTTGTTTTTAATTAGTTGTTCAGTTTTTTTCAACTGAATATAATTCTCGCTATCCTCGCTAGAATATGGAGATCTGAACAAGGCAATTTGATTATGTGTGCAGCTTGATTGGTGCATAGGTAATATGTTGTGTTGGGGTGTTACAAAGTAATTATAAGGAGGTTGATTACAACTTCAAAAAATATTCCAGACCTAAACTGAAGTAAGATTCCTAGTAGTTCATTCCATAAAATTATTTATTGTTTAATTATAACTTGGTTTTATCGTGCTAAGTAAAAATAAATGGTTAAAGTGGTCCAGAGCTGCTTCATTACTTATGTAATAATAATTTTTAAAGCTTCAATGTTCTCATGTAAAAGAGAAACTGGAGTAAGTAATAGTTCAAACAAGCAGATTGATTAATCTGGATTTTTTTTTACAAGACATTATTTGTCATGTAAAATTGAACAAACTCTATGCACTTTACTTTTCAGCAAAACCACAATTACAGTCTTTAGAAAGAATAAACAAATATTTTTAGGTCATCATAGCTGTTTTTTTCTAAATATTACATAAGTTCTATATTAAACTTGGTTGAAAATAAATACAGGAGGGAAATTTTGTCAATAGATAAACTGCTGCCAACAAACAGAATTCATTTTGAGGTTTTTGGTGCCATTAAAGGGGGTTTAAGCACACTTGTATAATTCTATTCGATTCAGTTTATATAACACCAATTCACTGCACATGTCATCTCAAGGCACTTTACAATTCAAACAGATCATCTAAGGAAAACCAGCTGATTGCATCGACCCATTGACTCAAAAGCAATCCCTTACACATCTTTAGTTTTATGCCTTTTGGATTTTGGTTCTATGTCTGCAAGCGGTGATTAACATTTTAAAGACTTAGCTTTTGCATGCCACTGTGTTATCAGATTAAATTGAATAGGCACTCTGACCTGGTTCACACAGTACAATTCAAAGCTGGTCAACAGGGATCAAGACACACACACACAGCTGCATGTAAATAATAGACATAAATGCATTCATACTTGCTTTGGATTTTTTTTTTTTTTATTACTATGAAGGAATGCTTTGATCATATCAGTCCAACTGGTCTAGACTTTTTAATTAATTCAATAAAAGGTGAGGTTGTTTTTTCCCCAAAATTCCATTAAAAGGGATTTTACGAAAAAGGAATGAGAGGCTGTTATATGAAGCATGAGTCTATGCCCTGATAAAGTGAAAAGAAAAAACAAAAACAGAATAAACACTACCAAGATGATATTTTTTGGCCTGTATGGAGAAGCTTTAAACTGTACTGGTTATTGCTGTAAGTTTGCCTGCTTTTAATCTTTGTTGCGTGTCACTGTTGTTATTTAAATGTTTTCCTTTTTATACATTTTAAAGTTGTTCCTATTTTTCAAAGAGGCTTTGATTTTATTTTTGATAGGGTTTTTTGTGTGTTGAGAAGTAGATGAGAGTTTTGTTTTCCTTGTACATTTTGTTTTCTTCAGATAGTGATGATTTAAATGTTTTCATTCTTGTTCCAGATTCACTGCTGGTGTAAAAAGGCTTTAATATTTTCAGAGACACTTTTCATTGCGTCTGTGTCACACATGCCGACACTTTATAAATCTGATCAGCTATTGTGTTAGGTTCAGATTGTTACAGAATTAAAACCAATGCAGTTGGGATCAGTGGTTTAAATAAGGTCAAAACCTCAGTTTACCTCATTCTGCTAAAGCAATGACTCAATGACTCAGTTCTGTGTGTAAGGTTCAGGGTTAGTTATTCCCTACAGGCGGCTCACAGCTGGTACTGTCCTCATCCGTCCAATCTTCTGAAACTATGCCCAAAGGTCTGATCTATGCAATCCATTATTTTCCAAATAAATGCTATACTAAAAACACCCGAAATACACCTCAGATTATGATAGTAGTTAAACTCACAATGGCTATACATCAATTGCTTTTATCTTTCTTTATAAAGATGCTTTCCCTTTAAAACTCCATATGTTTTGGTATTATAAAAGGCCTGATTGACTAGGGTTTTTCTATCAAGTATGGAGTAATGATCTTGCTGCCAGTCACCTGGAAGAAGCAAAGCTATATTGCTTTATCTGACTTCCAGGAAAACAAAAATTCAGCCATTTGGATTCCCCAAAACTCCCATTGATAACTTTTTTAAAGCTTTGAGCTGGATGGTGTAAAAAAAAGCAGTCTGCTTTCAATTTTTAGTTGAAATTTTCATGCAGTGAGAATCCCTGCCATATTTAGTCCAGTCATTATTGCAACACTGTAAGGCAACAATGTTTGATGAAATTCGGGTTTTAAACAGAGCTGCAGGAAATGTGTAGGCAGCAATATAAAATGGTAGGTGTAACATTGTATGCGTAAAGATATGAAATTTGTTCTTTTTGTGAATCCATCAATCAATTGTTTTTTTTTTTTTGTATTTCACTTTAATGTAATTTGAAAGATTTTTTTTTTTCAAACAAGAAAAACAACAGACTGGCTAATCGATAAAACTAGTGGAAACAAATAGGGAAATGCTTTTGTCATTCGCTGGGTTTTAACTCTGGATTCTCTTTCATGCACTGCATTTGTTGGTTTGAGTCTAAATACATGCTGCTGCTAATTTGGGATTTCTATCTTGTAGCTGAAGGTCATTCATTGTTTCACATGTGAGGTCAATGTGTAGCCATTTTTTTATGACCATGAATTCCTGTTTTTCATGCACCGATTTCTCCTCAGTAACGATTGATGATGCAGCTTTCTGTTGTCCTCAGATAAAGGGGACTACATCCCCACTTGTTGCTTGGTTTGACATTTTAAATAAACATTTTTTTCATTGTAGTTTGCTTTTGAATTATTTACAAGTGCATCTCACAGAATTAGAACACCATTAAAAAGGTGGTAACATTTGAAAAATGAAGCTCATGTGTATTACACGGTGTGATAGACATTTAATATTGCTAATTTCAATGATGTGGGAAAAGCCCAGAAATCTAGGTTTTGGTCCAAATCATGAGGAAGGCTGTGCAATCAAGACATCGAAGTCGAGTGGAAGGAAAAGATGCACCGCTATAATCTGTATTGAGAGGATTGTAAAGTGAGAGACAAACACACTGCGACATACTGTATGTTTGGTTTAATGCAAGAATTGCAACCAAAAAATACCAGATGTCTCACCCTGGGAAGAAAAATGACTGTACTGCTGCACAGTGGCCTTTTTAGATTGAAGTAACACGTGCATTTGATTTAAAAATCAAGGCAATGGAGTCTGAATTTAGAGCTGAGACAGACAGGGTCCTTAAATCTCTAGGTTTACAGCAGACTGAGTTTCATAGGCTGGGGTTGGCCCATTAGCTCAACATTTTAAAGCTGGATCTCCCTCTATTGGAAGTGCTTATGGTATTGGCCTAGTGTTTAGAGCTTGGAATCCTGAGGCTGTGAGCTTGAACCCCACTCCCACAAACTGTCACTCTGGCTCTCTGAGCAAGATCCCACAATGCACCACACAATGGCAGCCACTGCTCCCAAAGGGGATGAGTTAAATGCAAAGGTAAAATGATAAAAAAAAAAAAAAAAGTTCAATTATTAGTAAAGCAACAGCACTGCAGTTATTTAATTCATGCTAGATGAGTCCTGACCACATGGAGTGCATTTACTCTGCTAACTAAATTCTGGGTTTTCAGTAAGCTGCGATAATCAAAGACGAACAGTCCATATGTGACAGTGCTATTTGGATAATTTCAGAAAAACCCTAAAAAAAAGACAGAACAAGAAATACATAAAAAAATGTTTATTGTTACATCTTGGGCTGTATATAGTTCAAGTATGTACAAAAATTCAAAATACACCGAATGACCAAAAAGTTGCTGCCTAACAAAAAGACTCAAATACATAAAATAGATTTTAATTTACAATTTTATCAAGAATAAGGAAATGACATTTTTTTTTACCCTGCTGAATTAGGCTTTAAATGCTCGGTTACACCTGGATTGCTAAAAGTAAGACATTGTTTTATTTAAATGATAAATCATACTCTGAGGCAGCATCTCCTTGACCTTTTATTCCATCATCCATGGTAAGCACTATCCATACTGCACAGACCTGTAGCTGTCAGGTGACTAAACAGAAAAAAATATTCTGAGTAACTGTTCATAGATGAAAGTTGGCAGCCCTTTTGTCATTTTAACAAACTATGGGAGAATGTATTTTAATGGTAAATTCAGATTATGCAACACTGTGATGTCACAGACTGACAATCTCAGAGTATGATTCATTACAGAACACATCACTACATATGATGCAAAAACAGTTGTGGCTGGGTAATAGAGCCAATTGCAAAGTGTTTTAGCTGCTATTCCGATGCTCCCCTGCAGCATCAAGTCAAAGAAATAAAGAAAAGGAGTGGGAGGCAGTGATTTAAGCTCCAGCAACATCCTGTCAGCCAACGTTAGCTCAGGGGGGCTTTGATGAAACAGCTGGTTTCTGGTCAGAGGAGCTGGTGTGCAAGTCTTGGTTGAACCTCCTGAGGAATGGAGCTCACCCTTCATCATGAACCGACTTTAAAGTCTTTGGACAGCCGCTGTGATATCACAACAATTTGTGGTTCACAATCTCCCAAACCATCCTTCTTCTGAAGTACGGCATGTGTTTCTGTTTAACAAAGGAGTTATCCACATTTAGAGCACTGTGACTGATACAGATTTTTATTTAACAATGTCTGATCACCTGTGTGAATGTGATGGGTTTGTCTTTGGTAATGTAATCTGCATATTTGCAAGTGAACATTCCACAGTCGCTGCCATTCATCTGCTGAGGGATCTCCTGCAGCAAAACAGAAAAGCATATTGCAGAATAAATGATCAAATAAAAACAACGTAAAAAAACTCAGATTGGAAACCTATCCAGTCACAGAGGAAAATGATTTTCAAAACAACCCCACCACGGAAAGTATTATTTCAATCGTACCCAGTGTGGTTGAAGTTTAAGGATATTAAAACCCAATTCCACAGCCGGTCTAAACTAATGCAGCACAGAATAATGGATGGACTGCATTAGTGTGCTTGACGCAGAACTGTAATTTCTGCTGTTTTGTAATCAAACATGCCTCAATACCAGTATTAGTATCTTTAGTTTTTATGACACTAAACATTTTTTGGTCATTTTTACTACATAGCCTTGAAATTCCAAACCGTAAAAGGTAGAAAACAGAGCTGAAAGAGTTAATATGGTTAATTGAATTTGTCGACTAATTTAGTAATCGATTATTCATAATTGGAGTACAGAGACTCTAAAACATGCCTTTAGCAGACAGAGCAGTAATTATACCAAAATTGCAATATCAATATGCTCTATCCAGTGAAATACTTTTATTTTTGACCTGGTTTATATTCTGTAAAAAGATTCTTTAAGGAACCTTCTCCTATCCAATTATATATTAATAAAAAAATTAAATAAATAATCGACAGATTAATCGATTAGCAAAACGATCCTTAGTTGTAGCCCTAGTAGAGAATATTTATGGAGACATGAAACAGTTATAATTGTTTACTCTGGAGATTATTTATTAGTTCAGGACAGAGCATATTTACAGATAATCAAAGCTTTGTTTTCTACTTTGAGTGTAAAACATTCTCTTTAGAAAAAAAATTACTTGTTTTAGTCTGTACACGTCAATTGTTTTAATAATTGATCATAATTTATATTCTCAGCCATAATGTAAAAAAATGTCTGAATTCCATTAAATGTGTGTGTTAGATAAAACAAAATGTTTATAGAATTATTCTGCCCTCTGCAGGCCATCATGCTTTAGAACTGCTGTTGTTTACAAGAGGAAACACTTAGCATTTCTAAATACAGAATTTATTAGAGAAAAGGAAATGCTTCTAGAGCTTTAATGGGTTAAACTTACACTGGGCTTCTTGCTGTGGAGAGTCCAGCCTGAGGTATCAAGTTCTCTGCCTTTTTTGTCTCTACTTTCCTGTTGCAAGTAGTCACTGTGAACACAGACAAGAATTTCTCTTATAATAGGTCACTTAGATGATGGGATTGAACTTTAAATATGAAAGCTTCCAACAAACCAAAGGATAGAAACGTACAAAAGCATTTTACAAGCTTCATTGTTGCTTCCTCCCATAGAATCAAAGTACAAAACACACTTTTTACGGAAATCCACCACCTGAAAAAGAAGACAAAGTATTACAGAGAAAAATCTTCTAAATACTAAGATCCAGTTTTAAAATGGCCTTAATTTAGGCTTACTGAGAGGCACCAGTGCATCCCTAGGTGGACAGGAACCAAAAGGATGTCTTTAGCAAAAATGTCCATCTTTTTGGTCCACCGGCGGACAGCAGAGTAACCGCTGCTGCGAAGCTTGGGGTAGAAAAACGTGTTGAATGTATTGACAGATGGGAGGTTTGGCTGTTTGCTGCGCTCAACCAACAGATTCATGTAAAAGTTGATAACCTGCAAAATAAAACAAGCATTTTTACTTAAAGAATAACAGTAGATTTGACACAGCATCATATTAATGTGAGATAAAGTACTAATGATTACAACTAAAGCTTAAAAAATGGATAAATCTAAATATGTTCAGATTTTAGTTTAAGGATTACATGTTCGCACCTCATCATTGAGCCAGTTGAGGTTGTTGAGGGTCTGGAGGTCTTTTCGTGTGAGGCTGAGACCGAAACCTTCACTTAGTACTTCATGAGGATTTGCTCCTTTCATCAGAACTCTGTGCACCTCAGCTTCCATTTCCTTAACAGGAGTGCAGAAGCATACAGGTTAATTACTTCAGATTTAAAATTAGTAAACCAAGTCAAAAGTTTATTTATATATATATATATATATATATATATATATATATATATATATATAAACCCACAATGGTCACAGAATTAACTTGATTCTGACAAAAGTAATAACAAATAAAAATTCTATTAGAATGAACAAATGAGTCAGACAAGGCTTTTCAACCTTGCTTCAATAAACTTATAAGACTTTAGACAAAAATGATACAAAATGTACCAATAACCTTATATTTTGTTGCAAAACCTTTAAATAAAGCATTTTCAATTAAAATATTCCTGTAACTTTCAAGACTTTTGCCTGTCTCAGCAGGTATTTTGGCCCACTCCTTATAACTGAGGTTTGACTAAAACCTTGAAGAAGCCCTGATGTGTTTAGTTTTTTTCGTCTATGAAATTAGAGCTGATGTGTCTTTGAAAAAAAAGTTACATTTTTGTCGCATAGGACATTCTCCCACAAGCTTTGTTGCTTGTCAACATGTTATTCAGGAAATTCCATTCCGCCTTTTTTTATGATTCAAGAATGGTGTCCTCCTTGGTTCTCTCCCATTAAGTCCACTTTGGTTCAAACTACGGATGGTGTGATCTGACACAGATGTTCCTTGAAGTTCACCTTTAATCTGTACGTTTTTCTGGGGTCTTTCGTTATTATTCGTATTATCCTTCTCTTTGATTTGTCACTAATTTTCCTTCTGCAGCTAATCCAGGGAGGTTGACCTCAGTCTCACGGAACTTACATTTCTGATTATGTGCAGCTGTAGACACAGAAACAAGATGCTTGGAGATGGTCTCATAACATTTAACTTGAACATGCTTGTCTACAATTTTCTTTCTAAACTACCGAGACAATTCTTTCCTTCGCTCCCTGTTCCATGTTGAGCGTGGTAAACACCATGTGACCAAACAGCACAGTGACTGCCTGTAGCTCTATATATAGGCGCATGGATTACGGACTGTAAGATTGTTGGAATCTGTGATGATGATTTATTTCCATTAGCAACATTTTTAGTCTTTTCTAGGGTTAGTACCATCATTTTTGTCCATTATTATATATATATTTTTTTTATTCTTTCTGTTGAAGCATTTTTAAAAAGCAATGTCTAATTTCCATTTGTTCATTTCATATTTTTTTTTATTAATTATGACTATTACTATTGGTTTTCGTTTGTTAAACGAGGGGTACCAACAAATTTGTCTGTGTTAGTATTCATCCATATCCAGACACTGCTTATACAGTAAACATACGGAGAACAAACCTCTGTGAGGTCTGGAAATTCTGGTTTCTCCTCCACAGACTTGGACTCCTCTATGACAGGAGTCAGAGGAACTTCCTTCTCCAATGGAACACGAACATGGACCTCAACATCTGGGCTTAGTTTTCCCTCCTCAGACAAGCGCTGTAGACCAGAAATCAAAGCACATTAATACAACAACAGGAGAGACTTTGAACAGGATACATATGGAGGTGGAGTAAAGAGACCAACCTGTCGCTGAAGCTGGGAGGCCAAGGCTTCCTGCTCTTCGATTTGTCTCCGTCTTTCTCTCGCCCGAGAATCATACATGCTAGTCCTAGGAAAAAAAAAAGGCAAAGAGATAAAATACATAGGGAATCACCATAAGATTTGTTGCCAACCAGAATAATTTAATTATTTGTTTAATACAGTTAAATGCCTTTAAAGTAACTTACAATTCCTTAATCCATAGCTCTGCTTGGAATAATGGCACGCTGTAAAAAAATAGAGAAAAGTTTTGCTTTTAATAAGGTTGGTATTTGTGAAATTAAACACCAACCTAGTGTTATCACAATAAAACAAAACACTTAAGACACTGCAAAATGCTTGTCTAAAAAAAAAAAAAAAGATTTTTAGAAACATAAGTACCAACCTTGAGATATTTTGCTTTTTGCATTTTTGCTCATTTACAATAATTACAGAGTCACCGTCATGAGCTGAGGGGAAGAAGAAGAAAAAAAAAAGTTATATAATACAAAAGGATAAACCCAAATATTGAATCAATCCATGTTTTATTTCAAGTTAACCTGATGATTCTGTCCCCTGAGAGGTGCCATCTTGTAGAGCTGATGGGGAAGGAGCTGAGAAGATTACAGTGGTCTGACCAGAGCCAAGGTCTGTGTCTGGGGACCAAATCTGGGTCTCTGACTTGCTGGAGGGCCCTACAGGACTGGGGAGGTTGCTGGAGTTCTGGCTTGACATCCCTCTGAGGCTGGGTGGGCTACTGGGTCCCTCTGAAGTCCCTCCAGCCGCTGATCCAGCTGGAGAAGCCATTTGTAGGCGTCTGTGGCTGGTGAGGAAGCTGGTGCTGAAGAGACAAAGACAGGATGGCACCACCAACGGTCAGTTTCAGATTTAAAACTCGAGGCTAATGACCTACATCAGACATTACTATATGGTCAGATGGGTTCTGTTACCATACAATAAAAACACTTGAAACCTTTTTTTTTCTCCCGTTAAAGAGTTAAATAAGTGTTTGGTCCCTAATGTCACATCAGCATTAAAAGGGTTACCTAAACATTTAAACGTTACAGTAATCAAGCTTTACAGTGGAAACTACATACATAGCCTTTGTAAGAGGGCTTGAAAGCCGAATTAAGGTGTCGAAAGAACAGACTTAAAAATTCACCATGAAATCTATAGAGAAACTTCACAAATATAATTTACAACTAAAAGATGCAAGAGAATCTTTATCCTCTTAGATCATCAATAACGAACAATGCACGTGCCTTACTTGCCACCATTGACAGGTTAACAAACCCTCCTATCTCTGTTCTCTGGCCCCTCCTATTCAACGACATGCTACCCTTAGCTCAACTAATAGAAAACCACAGGATCAGTTACAATAACTAGGCAGAAGAAACAAAACTTTACATCACAATAGCCTCTTTTTCAAACATGGGTCAATCCGCTAACAATCAGCCATCAAAACACCATCATGCTGGGTAAGCAGCAATTTATAAATAGAAATGTTCATTTTCACTGCCAAGCTGCTGCTCATTCACTGTCAGAAAGCTGTATTTAAGGAAATCAAACAATAAAGTTTGTCTAAATCTAGAGTTTATTATTTCACCAGTGAGACAGAAATCAAGAAAGTAAACAATGAAGAGCAACATGTAAGGAAGCCAGGGCGTAGTAAGTGTGCTTTATTGTTTCACTCTTATCTGTCCAAATCTAAACCAGTCCAAACCAGGATATAAAAGAAAAAACTCATTCATGCATTTATATTTAGTGTCTTCATAGGTTTGCCTAAAAAAGTTCTGTCAGACAGCTGTAGCCGATTCAAAACACTGCTGCTGCCCCGTGTTCTCAACAAAACTAAGAAAGTAGAGCAAATAAGCCCCGTTCTGAAATCCTTCTATTGGCTCTGTGGAGTAAAAAATGAGCACTGAGAGTTGATATGCAAGGAAGAAAACGTTTTATTTTACTCTGCAGAGGAGAATGGCACAAACCAGCTGAATACAGCTGAGTGCGATTCTGAAGCATTCAGAAACACACCCCTACATTTAAAAAGAATCCACAGCATACACACACATGAACATTGAATCTTCCCAAGAGAAACACTTTAGTTCATCAAAGGACATAAATTTGCTCAGATAATCATTTCAGACAGCTGTATTCCGTTCACACCAGAAACAGGACAGGAGAACGATAAGAGCATAAGTTTTAACCATAGCATGAAGGAGGCTTTGTGAACTCATTATTTCTAATGACCTTCCCCTCACCCTTATCTAGAGTAGGGAGGGGAGGCACCTGCTTTCTGTCCCCCTAAACAGTACAGCATAGTGAATGGTACAGAATTTCTCTATCAATACTTCTGTTGAAACATTTTATCACACAAAGTAGGCATAATAATAACCTTGATTCCACAACTCCCTGTAGCTAAAAGAATAGACTTTAAAAACCTTCTGTTAGTCTATAAATCACTGAATAGATCAGCGCCTCAATACGTAACAGATTTGTTTATTTGTTTATTTATTTGTATATCAATCTCCCAGACCACTAAGGTCGTCTAGTTCAAGTCTACTGTGTCCACCCAGAACTACAACGATACATGGAGAAGCAGCATTTACTTCCTATGCTCCACTTATCTGGAACAAACTTCAAGAAGTAGATTGTGCTGTACAAATAAACTTGCCTTGCCTGGTAATATTAAGTATTAGTAAATAATTTCCGCTTTATTCAGAGATATGGTCAGGTATTATTGGAATTTGAATAATTCTGATTCCTTGTGTAGAGTTCTATCAGTTGTGATTCTTTAAAGAGAACCGATCCTAAAGGTTTACATAGTTTTAATAGGCTGGCTAACCACAGTTCTGTCTGGATGAAATAGTCTTAACTTCTGAAAGAATTTTAATTCTTTGAAAATCTTTTTTTGTATAGACATTACTATAATTTATAACAAGGTCATTTTCAACCGGTATGAAAATATCAAACTTTGTGGAAAGTGAAACAATGAGATTTTGTACTATGTAGTTTAGTTAGTGTGTTTCATCATATGAAACATGTCCCAAATAAAATAAACAATGAAAAAAATTACACTTAAAATTATCTATAAGTCTGGCAGATCAAGATATAAGTGCTTTTTTTCTATTAAGAACATGTAGCAAAAGAGAGGGGTATATTTAAAAATAAAATTAAAAGAAACAAAGGATGAAAGAAAACCCCAAAACGCTCTGCTCTCCCTGCAGAAGATGCGATTCAAATGCAAAAGGGAACAAATTCTGTCTCGGAACCTCCCTTGGCAGTAAACCAGTGCAGTGGGTTAAAGATGAGGTTCTCATCCTGGGTCCACTGGTGTTTAACGTGTCAGCAGAGCGCCGCCATATACACAATAAAAATCCCCTCCCAAGAGTTGCAGGTAGCCGACCGGTCATATCTTTAATTTAATGTTAAGCTTTACTTGTGGATGTCTTTGCTCTTTTTTTTTTGCCTTTCCACTTGTTATGTGCCCTTCTGTGGTTTTTGTGAGTACTATACCTACATCTGCGTCAACTATAAAAGGGAACAGTGCCTCTAAGGTCTCGCGCACAGACCAGCGCGACAACCAAACGTGGAATTATATTGCAGCCTAAACACAGAATATGTTTGCTTCAATTTTAAATACAGAACTCAAATATATTGCCATCTGTTTGTGTACTTACAAATCTCTATGGGACCTCACAAAGGTGTGTGTGCTGCCATTCTGAAGGAAAGATGACTGACCACCTGACACCATAGTTATAAGCTGCCTGTAGATCTCCTTCTCCTCCTCACGAACAGACTAACAAAAAGGATAAGAATGGTATCAGAACAAAAGGATAACAAGAATAAGAGACATTCAGGCAACGGTATGCTCTCCAGTCTAACCTCCTGAGCTGTGCAGTGGTACCCCACTCTGTTTAAGCGACTTGACGAGGTGCTGTGAGTTGGGCTCTGGACCGCTTTGATGGGAAAGGTCTTCTCATACATGTTGCTGCAGGAGCTGCTTGTTGTGCCAACTCCACCCGAGAAACTGCAGACGGTTTAGGTAATTATAAATCATGACCAAACTTTGTCGATTAAATACACAAAACAGAAAGCAAGAAATACCTTGAAGCACTGAGTGGCCGGAGGTTTAAAGGTCTGCCTAATCTTGGGGAGGGGTGCAGCTTGGTATTAATTGAGGATGGCACACTATTAGGATGGCCATTCGTTTTTGGGACCTCCCGATGTGCAGGAGTCATACAAACTTGTCGCCTACAGACTTTAGATCCCATAATCATTCTCTCATTACGAAGCCACTCTAAAATTGTGGAACAAGAAAAAAAAAAAAAAAGCTTTAATATGAAGAAACAAGACTGTGAATGGGGTAAAGTATAATACTAAAGCAGAAAAATAAACACTTTTAACATTATCCCCAAAAGATTTTGGGTTTTACCTGATCTGGGTGTTTTCCATTCAAGTGTAGTTGAAGGAGCTGCAAATGTTTCACCCAAAGAGTTCCTGTGAACAATCTAAAAATAATGAAAATAAATTATATGTAAAATAAAAAAGGACAATAATTACATGCTTTAATTCTCGCTTTCATCCAATCCAATTTATTTATAATCTATCTTCTAGAATGACTGATGGCTTTGTATAGGTTTCACCTCCAAATTTCCTTAAACCCTTTTTATTAAGGTTTTCTTCAGAATTTCATGATAACGTACATTAAAAGCACTTTACAGAACTGACTTTATTTTGATGCAGTTTTTGACAAGTATAGATTTTAGTAGTAGTTTTTAAGTATAATAGCTTCAAAACTCCCTCCAAACAATTTCAAAGTTGTATGTCTCAATGAGATACCAAATACAGAGCCGGATTGAACAAGGTTTTTCTGGCTCTATGGAGCAAATTGTTCCCCCACATGATGCTGTACACTGCTGGTTAGATAGCACACAAAAAAATTAAAATTAGCCATGTAATAGGTATATTAGCTACAAAAAAAATAAAAGTGATGAGTAAAGTCAATGGCCAGTCTTCACTATCTTTCAACCAGCTGACTGGAAGTGTGCAGATAGGGTGGAGGGGTTGCCCTATTTCGCTCAATTCTGCTCTCTCCTTTGTTTGTTAAAGCATATTAGAACCACAGGGACAGTGTGACAAACTAATTTGCTTTAACACTAGAACTTTTAATGATGTAGATCCTAGGAAATCCTCTACATCCTCTACCTATGTCTGACAGGAATTACAAAAGATACTTTTTTGAATAATTGCTCATACGACTTACCGGTCTACTTGCTGCTGATGTTGACGGCTGTGGTTCTTCCAGAGGGGAATCAGAGGAGGTAGGCAGCATATTCCTCAAGGCTGGGCTTACATTTCTCCTCATCCATGTAGCTACATTGTTACTATGGGTTTTAACCCCTTCAGCAGCACTCCTGACTGAATCAATGAAATCACCTACGAAAGCATTTTTAAACAAAAAATAATGCATTGTATCTGAATGAGACCGACAACACTCAAATAACGACGTATATGAGTAAATATTGAATTACCCATTCGTGTTTTCTTAATAGGTAAATTTTCTTCATTGGTGTTTTGGTCCTCCTCCAAACTGCATATAAAAAAAACAACTTAATGTTATGAAAATATTAAACTTAAGTTAGTTTAAAAGATATTAAAGAAAAAATAACTTCCTGAAAGTTTAACGATTCCATGAAAAAATGTATATCTAAATGTAGTTTTCACACGTCGTACCAATCAATTGTTCTTTTCCTTCTGATCAGAGCATCTCTCGGAGCCGGGTGTCGAGGTGTATGCTCCACAGCCGGCTCTCCGTTGCGTAAATTGGCAAAGCTCGTCTCTATCCATTCGTAGATTTTATTCAGCATGACGTTAAAGGTTCATAAATGACAGCGATGATTTAAAGAACAGATACGCGATGGCTGCTATTAGTCTGAATTAAAGTCGAGCTCGACTTATTCGAGTGAGGTAGGTTTGCTATGGCGGTTTTAAAGGGAAACGCTCCAGATAAACACAATTTTCACTTTCCAAAGGAAAAACAAACCGTTAGCCTCTTAGCCTAGAATTAGCCGTTTCTAGCTAGCGTCGTTAGCTAAACGGCTAATTTACCGAGTCGTGTTTAAATTCCCGCTGGAACGCCATAGGTCGCTGCTCGCGCGGTCGGAAAGTTTGCTCTCATCTTTTGTTTGAGATTAACTCCTTTCCAGATCGTTAATGTTTCAATAAAACGTGAATAAACTCGTTGAAGTAAAACATCTCCCGCTTCTTCCTCATTCAAAACCACATCATGGCTGAACCTGACGTAGTTCTGGGGCTCAATCCAATTGGATGACTGGATGTTGTAAAATTGAGTGTCGCGTAAATCTATTGGTTTAAGGAAATATTTTAATGTGAGGTCAAGCTCATCGAGTCTCAAACTGCGGTGCACCTTCAGTGGTACATGGGTTGCTGGCTTGGTATTAAGAAAAGTTTTGGGGATAATTCCATTAACATTACTGTGAAAGAGAAGTGAAAATGAAGAAAAATGAATGTCTTATTAGTGTTACAGTTAAAACAAGTAAAGTTTTAACTTTAAGGAGGAGAAAGTGATAAATAGATTAAGATTTGGGTATACAGGACTAAATTATACTTTTCAAATTCAAAAGCATACTACTGGCGAATGTGAATGCTCTGAAAAATATTAAAGAATAAAACATGTTATACTAGAATGTCATAAATATGAAAGACAGAGAAGATATATGAGGAGAGGGCTTGAAAGGAGTAAATCAGAATGAGAAATACTTTGATTCCAGAGGGAAATTACTTTTGTTACACACTCCATATGCAAATATATACAAATAGTAATTACATTTGTAAAGAAAACTAATTTATCTCATAGAATTTGATTATAGAAGGTGCATTTTTAATATGAGTGTAGAACTCTGCTGCAACTCTCCAAAATTGTAGGTGACTGCAGACAGTGCCGCAGATAGGAGGCCTCTGATTGGTCAAATCCGCTCTACACTATGCATATTTCCTGTGGGTACCTTACTGGTTTGTAAGCACATATTCAAGCATTTCATGCAAGCAGATAGCGATGAACCTGGACCTGGAGCAACTGGCTGAAAGTCACCAGATGCTTCAACGCAGTCTGCAGCAGGATAACTGCTCGTCCTTTGGAAATTTCATGGCAGAGTTGCTGAGGAAGGCACCGCTGGAGAGTAGGGACATTGTCACCAGGAATACCATCAACTACATGTATGACCAGATGGATCGAGTGCGGGCAGCAGCACAGACACCAAACTAGCCCAACTTGTTCTATGATCATTTATTGCCCAATATTGTTCCCTACATACCTGCATTAAAACCTTCATAGTTATACTGTTTATTATTAACATTAGCTGTTGTTGCTATTCTCTCTTTGTCCGCTGTTGTTGCACTACATTGGTTCAGCTTGCTTATATAACCTGCACTGTTAAATATTTGTATATATGTACATTTTCTAATTTTCTATTAGCATTTTCAATATTATCTTTTTTATTATCTCTGTTTAGAAATAAAACCAAAGATTTATGGACACAGTGTATCTTCTTTTATTATTCTGAAAATCATATAGTATGCCAAACTACAGAATTTTCTGAAATGGTTGGGTAAACATAAAACAGCATACACCACTTAAAACATAAAATCAAGTAAAAAAAAAACAGTGTGCAAGAGTTGGGAAAAGTCATTACTGAGGACCATCACTCTTCAAGAGTACCACGAGTCACCACCTCGTTCTGCCATGGAACAGATCCACGCTCTGTCTGAAAGAAAGACATCAGGTCTCCCCTCACTGCGGTAGATGCTCTGGTGGCGTGAGCTCTGTACATCATTGATGGGCCAATAGGCTTCATGTTGGAATCCCCAGTGACTTCGGCTCGCCACTCACCAGGCCTCAAAGACCCAGCCTTTTCCAGGTCTGGATAGCTGGGGGGTATGTAGCGTGCCTCTGGGCATGCCACCATGTCTGTGTGGGTGAGGTAGTTGTGCAGGACCACACACGCCTTCACCACATCCATAGCTTTGTCGGGAAAAAACTCAATTGGCCGTCCGAGGATCCTCCACCGTGCAACCATGATGCCAAATGTGTTGTTAATAATCCGTCTTGCCCTGCTGTGTCGGTAATTGTAGATCTGCTTGTCTTGAGGCAGATTAGGTCCTGCATGAGAAGAGACAATGAAGCACTCATTATTGCATCACATTAAGATTGTAATATTTACCATTTAGAAATGCAGTAGAACATGTTATGTTTATATAGCATCACAGATATACACAACATATTTTTAGCTATTCCACTGAACATACAGGTCCTTGTCAAAATATTAGCATATTGTGATAAAGTTCATTATTTTCCATAATGTAATGATAAAACTTGAACATTCATATATTTTAGATTCATTGCACACTAACTGAAATATTTCAGGTCTTTTATTGTCTTAATACGGATGAGTTTGGCATACAGCTCATGAAAACCCCTAATTCCTGTCTCACAAAATCATAGCCTAGCATATTTCATCCGACCAATAAAAGAATAGTGTTCTTATTACAAAAAAAGTCAACCTTCAAATAATTATGTAGTTACGTACTCAATACTACGGATGAGTTTGGCATACAGCTCATGAAAACCCCTAATTCCTGTCTCACAAAATCATAGCCTAGCATATTTCATCCGACCAATAAAAGAATAGTGTTCTTATTACAAAAAAAGTCAACCTTCAAATAATTATGTAGTTACGTACTCAATACTAGGTCGGGAATCCTTTTGCAGAAATTACTGCTTCAATGCAGCGTGGCATGGAGGCAATCAGCCTGTGGCACTGCTGAGGTGTTAGTGTTAGTTCAGTTAGTGTTTAATTAATCTAAAAAATTTGAATGTTCAAGCTTTATCAATACATTATAAAAAATTATGAACCTTATTTTGAGATTTTGACCTCAAGACTTGCAGATCACGTACATACCTTGAAATGGTCGCATGAGGTTGCAGTGTAGGGGGAAAGCCGCGTCCCCAACAATAACATGGGGGGTCTTAACCAAGGTCCCGGGAAGGTCAGCTGGTGGGGGCAGGTTTAGCTGGTGATCGAGGAGCAAGGACCCGAAGATACTCTCCTTGAACACTCCACCGTCGCTCTCAGGTCCGTAGGCTCCGACGTCCACCATTGTGAAGCGATATCTTGCGTCGCACATCGCCATCAACACTATGTTGTGGGCCCCTTTATGGTCGCTCCCTGGTCGTGAAGGTGGCTTCGTGTTGACGCGTTTGCAACCGATACTTCCAACGCAATTTGGGAAGTTCCACAATCTCCAGTAGTCAGCCGCGATGTTTTCCCACATGGCTGTTGTAGGTAAAGGCAGAAACTCTGGCTGTAGTGCCGTCCACAAGGCCTGGCACACCTCGGACACTATCCCAGACACCGTGCAGGACGCTAGTTTGTAGCTCTGTGCGACCGTCTGTTGGTTTGCACCCGAAGCCAAAACACGCAGCGCCACGGCCAGTCTCTCTGGAACACTCACGGGCGAACTGTGTGTCGTCTGGTGATGGATGAGGGGCTGTAGGCGGCGAACAAGCTCGTCAAACCGACACACGGACATCCTGAAATGCTTGAAATGCTTTTCCTCGTCGTCTCTCATCGGTAGCACAAGTGTAGCAAATTCCCCGGTTTCTCTCCGAGGGACATTCAAAGGGCGAACAGACCATCTTCTGCGACGCTTCTTTTGCCTCTCTGCCAGCTTCAGTAACAATATTTCTTCTATTTCTAGATTTATCAGTTCTATCTCAGCCAAAGTACGCATTGGTTCAGTCGCCATTGTTGTTGTTGTTGAATGACCTCCGTAACAGGAAGAGAAACACGCCAACCACCACACCCACAATCCCAGCTACTTCGTGTTTGTCCCTCTTGCGGTGTGGCGTGGAATTACATAGCGCAGACCAAGCCTCCTCTTCTTCTTCCATTTGATTAGTGGATTGCAAACAACTTATAGATCAATACCGCCACCTACTGTACAAGAGTGTGTAGCATTAGGGTTCCACCTACAATATTCTATTTTTTATTTCTGTGTTATGTAAAAATAAAAATAATACTTTATAAATGACCCTAATTTCCTCCCTATCTCCATCTGTCCTTAAATACCATTCTCTTCGTTTTTCCCTAATTACTTCTCTCTTCCCCTTTCTTTCAGATGCATTTTTATAGCAGTTCATCAAATCAAAACATGATCCACATTTTCTTTTTCTCCACAACCCTCACATAAATCATTATTTCTCTTCTCTAGTATAAACAAAAACCATTCAAGTATGAGTGTCCAGTTCTTAGTTTAGTGGAAATGATCTCTTCCCTTCTGCTTCTTTCTCCATATTTTTTTTTATATTACAGATTTTTGAACCCTATATAATGTTCTCCCTTTCTCATCTTCATCCCATATTTGTTGCCATCTCACTGTTTCTTTCTAATTGTTGATTTACCATCCCCCTTTCCAAATGGAATCTGGAATCTTAGAGGCGGAGGATTGTACATTTGTATATTGTAGCTTATTTATCCAAGGAAAACTTAACTCCGTAACTACTCTCCTTCAGATTACATCAGATCAAATCGATTTTTTTTGTTTCTTTCTCCATTTACATGATAAAAATTACACAATGAATATGTTACACAAGTCTCAATTTAAACAAACAAACAAACAAACAAAAAACATTTATTGAAAATGGAGGGAGTGGCAATGCATGCACTTCATATGATCTCAAGGTGTGGAGGCAGAATGGACAACTGAATCGATGAATGCATGCATGTATCGACTGATGTTGGTACATGGGAAAAAATAAGTGCTAAAAGTGGCAAAAAAATATAATTCTAATTGCCGATATGTGCTGCCAAGTTTTTTGAGGCCCATTTTGAGGGCTGATATTGTTTTCCTGCATTTCCATTGTAAAAATGACAATAATAACAATTGCAACACAGCTTTTAATTGGACTAAAAAATAAGCATTTATTAACAAATCCGACATGGATAGAGGGAGCAATGATGCGTGTGCTTCATGGTATCTGAATTCATGGCTGCTGAATGCGCTTATGAATCAGCCAACTCATGCACATATCTATCATTGCTATTAACAATGCAATACAAAAAATGCCTATATCAGCCAAAAATCAGCGGGCAGATGTATGGTTAAATCTCTTAGTCTAAGACATGAATATGTTTTGATATAAAATAATCCAAGATATGCAGCTCAGTTAATCTGGGGCTCAAAAACAGCAACTGCATAATGCAGCCATTTATGTTTTAGGTGGGAATAATGAAGTTTATAGGGTGTTTAGAGGCTTAAAATTGTACTTTTAGTCCTATCTAACATATGCATCTTTTTTATTGGAAATTTTATATGAGGTTTTCTTTCTTTGCACATTGGCTCTGTTACATTTTCACTTTCACTAAGGCCTGATTGATAGAGTGCACAACTAATAGTTTTCCTGTCAACAGTCTTTTACCTGCGCTTTGAAGCTCTGTGACTCATCCAGAGGTACTTCAGATCTCATACGATGCCTCTCTGATGAATGGAATATTGTTTTGCAAGACTGATTTTCCTTTCTTCACTATTTTCTCCTTCCTATTCTTCATCACACAGTTTGGTTATTGATGCCTAATTACATACCTAAGTGATTAATAACTTATACAGATTTTATTTTGGAATACTAAAGCAAAGGCAGAATACACAGGCATGCTAAACTTTACAGATTTTTATTCTTTTAAAAAAAATGAATAAATAGGATCTATTTTTATTCTATTAGACCAGCTTCAGTTGTGTTCATCATTCAAATAAAAGCCCAAACAATTTTCCACAGAATGAAAAGATATTAAGCATGAGATACCTTGCTCTGAAATGAGTATTTTATTCCAGAATTTCCCACATGAACTTTCAGATATTTAACAATAATTGTTACATTACATGAAATGTGTTGCAGCTCAGTTTATTTAATCAGAACTTGTGACTATATTTATACATACTCTTAATAAAATATACAGTAACACCAATTCACGGATGAAATGTGGAGTCCTCTTAAAATATATTGCACCTATATAACAAAATAAAGGTAATACAAAGGAACACTAAAACACATAAAAATATTCAGAAGAATCAGACCCATACTTTGAAATCCCCTTATCTAAAGTAGTGAAATAACAGAACAGCATTCAGGTTCGTCCACAAATGCAGTCCTTAACAAAAGTTCCTGCATGTTTGGCACTCTTAAATTTATATTTATTGACAGATATACTGTCAAAATGATTGAAAGTTTATCACATTAGTAAAACTAAAACCTATAAGGCTCAATCTGAAAATCTTTCTGAAAGATGTCAATCAAAAATCCTTCATTGAAGCGTTTTGGTTCAAACACACATGTTGGATAAATCACATACAAGCAGTGGAGCAAAGTAAGTGCACTGAACATATTTTGGTCACACATCAAAAATCAGCATGTCTTTAAAATGACTTCTTCATATGCATTAAAACACTTTTGTAAATATGAATAGTTAAATAATTTTCACCAAAAAAAAAAAAAAATCTAGATTGTAATTTAAAGCCACAATTATGTATCACCTACTGTCTAATTATTAAATACAACAGAACACTCGCAATTCACAGTATAGAGATGACAATGCATAGGACTAGAAACAGAAGGAATGATGTGCATATATGTTTTTTTTAAAATGCATTTTGAAGTTACATTTGTAAAAGAAGATCCACAGCAACAAAATTTAGAATGAGTTCTGTTTGCTTTGTTTAAGCTAGGAGTCATGCGTTTTATTTATTCCTGAATGGTCGATAATAGTTTTTTTTAATTCAGGTGATTTCTAATGGATTTGCACTGATACAACTACTACATATGAACACATCCAGATTGTTTTAGAACACTGAATGAAGAGACATTGTTGTTTCTGGCTCTAGTAATGTGCCCTGCAGGCCTGGCTCATAAACATGCTGGAAAATGGATCGGAAGCTATAAGACAACTTGTTGTGATGATATGGATATGTATCCATGTGAATGTCTAGTGATTTCAGGTGATTCATAAAATATCCATGACTCAAAAAAAAATTAATAAAAAGCTACCAGGATTACCAACATCTTCATTTTTTTTTTAGAATGGTACAGCCCTTATCTGCAGGATTGAAGGGCGGGTTTAATCTCTCTTTGTGCCAAATAACTGGAGGAAGAAGGAGAATATGTACACGATGTCTAGGTAGATGTTGAGGGTGGCGAAGACATATTCCTCTGGACTCATGGTGTATCTTTTGTTTCCCATTAGGAGCTGCGTGTCGAATGCCAGAAACTACAGACAAAGAAATTGTAACCATTGTTTATTTAGGGCGTCTTTGCATGTTGCATTGTGGGAAAAAATATATTTACACCTATGTTGAATTCTTTCACACAATAGACAATTATATTTAGACGTAAGAGGTGGTAGTTTGGGAATTTAAAAAGAGGATTATAGTTAATTTATTTTAACTTTTTTCTGAAGTTGAGTTTTATTTGTCCAATTCTTGAAAGGGTAGCAATAAGAAAAGATTGGAAAGCAGTGCTCTACATCATGATTTATGCTTAGCACGCAGCTGTACTCTTACCATTGTGAATAGAATGGCTCCCAGCGCAGCGTAAATGGCATCCAACCAGGGTACCTGCAAAGAAAATATGATGATTCATTAAAATATAATGATGCAAGAATGAATCTTGTAGAATACTAGTGAAAGTTATGCTGGTGAAGATTCTCAGTCATCCAGGTCATAGTCATACTGAAAAAGTAAAAAAAAAAAAAAAAACTTTGTTTCCAAGGTTTGAAGATGTTTCGCTTCCCATCCAGGAAGCTTTCTCAATTCAAAATGTCTGGATTCGTTGGAGTTTGTTCGTTGAGGCTTTTTATAGTGGACCAAAAACAAGGCCTTGTATTGCTTGGAAACATGCAAATTGAACCTTACGAGCGGGTCGTTTGGTTCCATTTTTAGCGGAGGTATTCAATCCCCCCTTTAACGACGGACCTTTCACAACCATAGACAGGTTTCAGATATTACAGTCTAACAATTGAACCAAACGACCCACTCATCAGGTTCAATTTGCACGTTTCCAAGCAATACAAGGCCTTGTTTTTGGTCCACTATAAAAGGTTTTGGTCCACTATATATATAAAGCTATACACTATATATCCACTATATATAGAAAGCCTCAAACTCAATGCAAATCCAGACATTTTGAATTGAGAAAGCTTCCTGGATGGGAAGCGAAACTTCTTCAAACCTTGGAAACAAAGTGCAGTGGATTGTTTTTTAAACTTTACCACAAGTGAAAGTTTAACAAACTGTCTAACATTACCAGGAATCAGACATTTCATGGTTTGAACTGAAATTTCTTAGATGTCCTTTATAATGCATTAATTGAGCCATAAAAAAGTATTCCTTTAAGTCAATGACCTCATAGCTAGGTAATATGTAGTAAGTATTTAAAATGATTCATGTTCACTTATAGTTTTGAACAGTGTATTATTTGGGACTCTGAATGTAAATCTGTATATTTTTTTTTCCCTTAGGCCTTAGACCTTAACTTGGACTAGAAAGCACCAAGTGTTTCATGATTTCTTTTTCTGCTTGTTTTTTTTGGGCAGGTTATGTTTAAAATATCTTTTTGTGACATTTAAAGTGCTTTACACAATCTTATAAGAAAATAGTAAAAACAAAAAACAATTGATGTGGCCCTCAAAGTCATATCACAACCCAGTCTCATGGGAAAATGTACCCCCACTACGTTGGTCCACACTGCAAAACGTAGTGGAGGTACATTAATGGCCATTTTTTTGTGGTACTGTTACATTTCTTCTGCCTATACGCTTTCTATTGTTTTACGTCCTAGTCACGTGACTTTCAAGATTCCAGCTGGGAGAAGAAAAAAAATATATATATGGCCGACATTCACTCATTTTTTTGTGGAAAGATTAATGACTTGAGTTTGTTTTTGCATTAAAATGAGTTTTGATTACGTTTCTAGTGAGAAATGCATAGTTTGTTGCCAGAATATTTACTCAGGGAATGTACATATTCACTTGCTTGTTCGTTTCTTGAAAAGATTTTTCAAGATAATGTGAAACTGAAACGTTTTGGTATAAACATGGCTGAGATTTCTCTAACTTTTAGTGGGAAAATCAATAATTTCAATCAGTTTCTGCATTTAAATGGGTTTTGATTACATTTATAGCGAGAAGTGTAGGGTTTATTTACATAATATTTACTTAGTGAACATACATAATCACCCGCTTGCTAGTTTTTGCTACGGGTTTTCGGATCTCGTCAGGATTATGTGAAATTGCAACGTTTTGGCTGCTACCCATCGCCTAGCATTTAGCTGCCGCCCCGATTCAACATTGAATTCCTTGTGATTTAACTCCATCTGACGGATCAAACCCTCGCCACTGCGTGCGTTGATTTTCAGATCAATGCATTACGTCGTGGCATACGGGAGAAACTAATTAAACTAGTTTAAAAAAAGGATCATGGGTTAAGATCGGATGTGTTTTATTTGGAAATCTACCGGATCCTTTGTGCATTTAACTTCCTGTTTGGTGCGATCTCATTGATGGATTTTGACCAGATTTTGACCAAAGAGGAACTAAAAAAAACAAAACAATTTAAATACACAACCAGCATATCTGGAATCAGTGACAGAGAGCGACTGGGACCAGAAGTTTATTAATTTCTCCCCATTGATTTCCATTCAAAATGTTTTCGATCCAACCGGGCTCTAGGGAAGGGGCGGGCATACCGCCACCTACTGTTCATGAGTGTGTAGCAACATTGTTTTACATCTATTAAATTCTATTTTTTAATTTTGTATTCTGAAGATAAATAAATAATGCTTTCCTTAATCTATAAATATCTTTTATATTTCCTTTATTTCCCAATAATCCTTTAAGACTCCATTCTTGGCCTGTCCTTTCAACTCTTTTCAATTTCTTCCTTTCAGGTTCATATGTTTTGCAGTTCATCAATACATCTGCATTTTCTATCTCTCCACATCCTTCACATTTATCATTATTTTTCCTCCCTATTAAGTATAAATTGTCATTTAAATAAGTATGACCTACTCTTAATCTGATCATTATTATTTCTTCCCTTCGGTTTCTCTCATTAATATTTCTATTTAATACTGACTTTTGTACTTTATATAACCTTCTTCCTTTTTTATCTTCATTCCACCTTTTTTGCCATTTTTCAATTTCTTTCCTCTTAATAAATGATTTTCCTTCCCCTTTCCCTAAAGGAATTGTAATTGTTATTGCCTCCTCTAAAGCCCTTTTTGCTAATTTGTCTGCCTTTTCCTTTCCTTTTACCCCTTCATGTGCTGGAACCCAACAAAACCAAATATCAATGCCACTCCTGTATAATATAAATAAACTGTGCTGAATTTCTAATACTAAATCTTTCTTATTATTTCCTTCTCCCTGAATACTTTCTAAAACTGCTTTGGAATCCGTGCAGACCACCACCCTGTCTGCTCTGACCTCCTCAACCCATTGGAAACTCAGTATAACTGCCACCATCTCTGCTGTGAAAACAGATAGTTGATCTGAAATTCTTTTAGAAATGTGTATTTTGAACTTTGGTACATATATTCCTATTCCCACACACCCTTTTCAGTGATGTAGCTTCTTTACCTAATCAGTTACGTAAAAGAAAGTTATCTTTGTTTGTTTTTCTGCTATGGAGTATTTTATTGCTGCTTTATGGTGAAGAATTAAAAAGGGTATGGAAGTACACTCTTTAGATAACTGATTGTACTTACATATTGAAATGGAAGGACAATCGCCAGCACCAGTCCAGAGACGAGCATCACCATGCAGAAAATGAATAGTACACCCTGGCATGAGGTCACATCAAGCTAAAGAGAGAGGAGACACATCAAATTACAAATAATGTTTGACCTCCCTGACATCTGCATGCATCAACACAGAGGGGGAGTCATTGTAGTAAATCTGCCTCACCTTAGTTTGGAAGCTGAAGACCGTAACTATGAGACAGACTGCTACTGTGATCCCCAGGCACATTACTACTGACTTGGTGTTATAGAAGCTGTTAAAACAAAACAGACACACATAATATGATATATTTATATTATATTAAGAGCCACATAAATTTTGTTTGAAGAAAAATGAACAAGATACACTGTAGGTGAGTCTCATTTAAAATGTTCTGAGTAACCAAACATCATTGAAATGAGGGACTAAAGGAAAGATGATGTCATTACCTGGACAACATTCCAGTCATGTAGGAAAGAGATAAGGTCTGTGAAGAAATTATAAAAAAAATATATGTATATTATGAAGTTTGGCATGTGTTATGCTGGAAATAAGTAACAGAATATATTTGTATAAGTTTTTTTAACTTACAAAGACGGCAAGAAGGATAAAATTCCATGGAAAGCGTCTCCTGCAATGAAAAATCAAGTCATATTGTTTTCATTACCAACTGCTGATTTCTCATTTATACTGATATATGTTCAATATTGGGCAACAATGATGTACCTGGGTGCAGAGCAGCATGACAGAGTCAAGTAGGTGACAAAGAACACCGCACTATAAAAGTATAAAAAATATCAATGAGATGTTTTTGGCAAAAAAAAATAAATCTTTTTGGTTGAAAAAGGATCTGCTCTTAAACATGCAACTTACTATGAGGCCCAGTACCATCCAGGGTTGGTTTGAATGTAGTCTTTCACTGGATCACTGTAAGAGAGAGTTTACAGTAAGTAATACATCCTTTAATCCATATTAGGTTTGTAAGAATTAGAAGAAATGCTTACCAGAATGTAAATAGAGCCACGATTGCAAAAGTGACCAAAAGTTGGATCATAAGGATGGAGTAAACCTGAAAGAAATAGCAGGAATTTATAGATTATCAGGGTGTGTTTATGTTTGCTATTCAGTGTTTCACAGGGCAACGGTGGCATTGGATGTAGTGTAGTGAGTTTGAAATCGAAGGATTGACGGTTCAAGCTCCGACTTTCAGTGTCGTTGTGTCCTTGGGCAAGACACTTCACCTGCATTGTCTACTGATGGTGGTCAGAGGGCCCGGTGGTGTCAGTGTACGGCAGCCCCGCTTCTGTCAGTGAGCCCCAGGGCAGCTGTGGCTACAATGTAGCTTGCCACCATCAGTGTGTGTGTGAATGGGTGAATGAATCTAGTGTAAAGCGCTTTGGTCAAGTCTCCTGACTTGAATAAAGGCGCTATATAAGTACAAGCCATTTACCATTTTAGATCAGCCCAGTTGAGGTAAAAATACTTGTTAACTTAACATTTCCACCAAATAAATATAATAAAATGTTTTTTGTGGTACCTTTCGAATGAAGACTCTTCTGATGTTGGAATCATCCCAGCTGAACTCTGTGAGCATCTCTTCATCATTGTAGCAAGGAGCACTGGCACCTAATGATCGATTTCATTTAAGTCATGTTAATGATTCTTCACACACTAAAACAATCCACTCATTACAACAATTTTTTGTGACCATATATATAGCAAACCTTTTGTAGGTTGCTTTATAATATATGATAATAGGCTGATTGGATGAGGCTATAGAGAATAAAGTGCAGTCCTACCTGCAATAGCTTCCTCATATGTGGGGGGAACTGGTGCCACAAAGGCCTCTCCACTTGAGGAGTCGTCTGCCTTGTTAGCAAGTGTGAGCTAAAAAGATTAAAAACAAGTAAAAACTTTTTATTACATGTATTCTTGCAGGTTTGCTCTGGAATATAAATGTGACATTTTGACAAAGTCAAGAGTAAATATGCTCTTCCCTCACATATCATGTTTATCATGACTGGTCACAGGAAATAGCCCCCAAGTATTTATACTTGACAGAAGACCATTTGTTTTGCAAGAGCAACTCCATATTGATTACTTCTGATGCATTGTTGTTTGGTTTTCTTGTTTTGCAAATTCTGAAGCTTTTTCTTGAATTCTATTAATTTTCTATTTGATTTAAATCATTAGCTATAATTTATTATTTTCTGGGGGGAAAAAAAAAAAAAAAAGAACTAAATGAGATATATTTATTGTTAAATGTACTATAAATATAAAATGTAAATTTTATTGATTAACTTCAATTTCATTCAACATAATCTCCTATAAACCTTTTTCTGAATTAAACACATGTTTAATTCATTATGAAATTGTATCCTCTAAATGGCATACCTTGCAAAGGTTTTCATTTGCCATTTTATTTGGATTCTATGTGATAGTCTTATAATTGTAAAGTGGAAGGAAATAGACTAATAAGAATTTGACAAAGGGGGTGTGCATTTGTGTGCACAAGAAAAGCAACCTAAAAGCATTATGCAGCCACCACCATGCTTCACTGTGGGGGATGGTGTGTTTATAGTAAATTGCATTATCTGTTTTTTGTGTGTTTTCTTTTCCCCATACTGAGTGTTTTGTCTGTAGGCCACAAAGTTCAAAAGGACTTACCATAGCCATCCTCTTGCCCATTTTAAAGGCCTGGTTTCTAGGATGGTTGGATGGTAGGCACACTGTCAGCAGATTCTAACACCTAAGCTACACCTACAATTAAGTTTTAATACTAAGATGTCCTGTCCATCCCTTTTTTGCTGCCATCATGTTTCACCTTATTGACAGTATGGTGCCATTTTCTTCCCTGTAGACCAAAGAGTTAAGTTTAATCTAATACCTCTTAGATGTTTTTTGTTTGTTTTGTGTTTTTCTGATTGGTGTTCTTATGGCCAGATTCTCCTACTTTAGGTGGGCATATTTAATTAATTTACTATACTGTTCCAGTTTTAGGTTGATAGATTGAACAGGGCTCTGTGAGATGATCAAATCTTGGGGTAAAGTTTTATACCCTAACCCTTTCTTTAAATTTCACCAATACTTTCTCTCCTAAGCTGTCTGCCGTGTTCCTTCTGCAATGCTGTTTTTTTCCACTAATGTTCTCCAATAAACCCCTGAAGCCTTCAGTTACACAGGTCGATTTTAATTTACCAATTAGGTGACCTAGGCAATCAATTGTGCTTGACTTTATTTAGCTTTCAAAGTAAAGTGCACTGGATACAAAAGCACATTGTGCATTACTAATATCCATATGTACAATATTTATAATTAAAATTTAATTTCTTTCATTCACTGTGGTTATAATTATGTGATACCTTAAGTTTTGCATCAAATACTGATTGAAATTAAAGAAGTCTGATTTTTCAATCACAAGACCAGACTTCTGTATTTTCAAACAGTATTTGATGCAAAACTTAAGGTATCCCATCATTATAACCATGGTGATGGAAAAAATTCATTTTTTTTTTACAAAAATTAGCTACAAATGGATATTAGACATATGTACAACATTTTTAAATACATTTTTATTTTTGAAGTCACTGTGGTTATAATTATGGGGTACCTTAAGTTTTGCATCAAATACTGATTGAAAATAAAGAAGTAAGTTTTATTCAAAAATGTTGTACATATAGATATTAGACATTTTTAAATAAAATTGTATTTTTTTCAGTCACTGGTTATGTGAAGCCACGTTGTCTGACGAAGTCACGTTCCAACTCGCGTTTCTGGTTTCAAACTCAAAAGATTTATTTTCTCCAAAAAAATGCAAAATAAAACGGTACAAAAAATGAAAAATGCTTATAAACTAAGTAACTAACTAACTCTTTTAACTGATATCCATGTTCTTAATTCCTTAGACCTAAAACTGCGGTCAGAAAAGGTGAAGCTCCGTCACATCAAACACCCGCTGGCTTGCTTCCTGAACGTGCCTGACGTGCCAGACCTTCCAACTCAGAAATTACCTACAACAAAGATCGCTATTGCCACCTAGAGGCAACTAGTGGTACTACACATATTTCAATCTTGTCAATTCTGGCACTTACATATCCGGCCCCTAATTGTCTTGTAACTAAACAAACAATTATCATAAACACAAACTATGTGATTCCTAAAACATACTAACAGTAAACTATTTCTTACTTATCAGCTGAAAACAAATTTGTACAGTCTTATTAGTCTTTTTTTTTTTTTTACAGAGTTTTCATGTTTGGAACTCTTTTGATCATGTTTCAAAAGTGCATGTTCAAAGTTCAGTCTCTATTAATGTCCAATATGTCTTCGTAAACTGGAACAACATGGAGTCAGAGGTTACCAGCACATGACTCGCCGATGGAGATCAGTCTTTACCACTGTCTCATGCAGCAAACAATTTGCTACATATCAGCTTCCAGTAGGAGACACAGCTTGGTGACTGGTCTCAGGAGAAGATTCGTGCTGGTCTTCAATCGAACTTGACGAACTCTTCCCTTACTGTCCGAGATGGTCTCGACGACCCGACCCATGATCCAGGAACTTCTGGGAGCTGAATCATCAATCAGCAGCACAATGTCACCAACTGTAACATTATGCCTTGGGTGCAGCCACTTTTGCCTTTGCTGTAGTTCTGGCAAATACTCCTTGGTCCAGCGTTTCCAAAATAGCTCTGCCATGTACTGGACGCCATCTGCGTCTGGAGTAGATATCCTTGGCATTGAAAATACCTGGAGGTATGATAGGTTTAGTCTTCATCAAAAGAAGATGGTTTGGGGTAATTGTCTCCAAGTCATTGGGATCATCCGACACTTTCGTGAGAGGGCGACTGTTGATGACAGCCTCAACCTCACACATAAGTGTTTGCAACCCCTCCTCATTCAAAGTCTGCTGCTTCATGACAGAATTCAGAATCTTTCGCACTGATCTTATCTGGCGTTCCCACACTCCACCATGATGGGACGCTGTTGGGGGATTAAAGATCCACTTAATGTTCCTTTTTGCCATTTCAGCTTCAATATGTTCCTTATTCAACTCCTGAACTGCCTGTCGCAGCTCACGTTCTGCACCGATGAAGTTTGTGCCGTTGTCCGATCTGATCACTTTGACTTGACCTCTTCTAGCAACAAATCTTCGTAGGGCATGAATACAGGAGTCCGTATCAAGCGAACTTGCAACCTCGAGATGAACTGCTCTTACTGCAAGACACGTAAACAGCACTCCGTATCTCTTCAATGTGGTGCGGCCTCTCTTGATCTCGAATGGGCCAAAATAATCAACACCTACATTGGTAAATGGCGGCTCGTCAGGTAAGACTCTGTCTTTTGGAAGGTCAGCCATAATCTGACTGCTTGCAGTTCCGTGCTGGCGTCTACAGATCACACACTGAGACAGCATGCTTCTTATGACGGCATGAGGCCTAGGAAGCCAATACTTTTCCCTTAGTTTCGACAGCACGTAATTGCGACCACTGTGTCCAACTTCCTTATGAACAGCTCTAAGGATAAGCGATGTAATGTGCATACCCTTTGACAAGATAGCCGGGTACTTCGACTCTTCAGGCATACTGGCTCTATTCAGTCTGCCACCCACTCTTATGATGTTGTCCTGCAAGACAGGTGACAACCTGTAGAGGGGGCTGCTCTTTGAGACCATTTTCTCTTTTTCCAATGCAGCTATTTCTCTAGAGAATGCACGCTGCTGGCTGATTCTAACAATCTCTGACTCAGCCTCTACGATGTCATCCAAGGACGGAGGACTGACACTCAAAGAAGCCTTCAATTCAGCCATCCTTCTTTCCACAGTCTCATTCTTTCCAAGACCATCACTTCCTGTTTTCAAGTCTGATCCAAACTGCTTTCGTTTTTGACTTAGAAGCTTCAGGGAGTTTTTAAGCTTGATCATCCATGCAACCGCTCGCTTCAGACGGTGCCAATCTGAATAATGATCAATGAACTTTAGGACTACGTCCTCTGCGTTCTCTGTGACCACTGTAAATACCACAGCTTCCTTCACTTCAGGATCTTTCACCAGAGACTGATTGAAACTTTCTGGAAAGGCAGGCCATGTGTCCTCAGTCCGCAGCAAGAATTCCGGCTCCGATAACCAGGAATTCGCCTTCAGAAAAGCTTCCACTGTGCAGCCTCTGGAGGCATGATCCGCTGGATTGTTGCAGGATTCCACATATCTCCATTGGCTTACTTTGGACCGTTCTCTGATTGTTGTAATCCTATTTGCAACAAACGTTCGAAATCTTGCTGATTCATTCTGGATGTACCTAAGGACCGTTGTACTATCTGTCCAGAACACAGATTCCTCTAACACAATATCCAGCTCAGCTCGAATCATGACATCCATCTTTGCAGCTACAGTCGCTGCTGTGAGCTCTAGCCTGGGTATCGTGACTGGTTTTAAAGGCGCAACTCTTGCCTTTCCCATTATGAAAGAACACTGTTCTTCGTGCTTCTCATTTTTCAAAACCAGGTAAGTACAAGTGCCATAACCTCGCTCACTAGCATCGCTGAAATGATGCAGTCTGGCTTCTGTTGCTGCTCCAAAGTCATGTGTCTTAACACATCTCTTCACTTCCAGCTCTGACAACTTGTGCAGGTGAGTTATCCATTGTTCCCATTTCCTCACTAGGGGTTCTGGCATATCATCATCCCATCCATGTTTCCTCACACAATTCCTGCAATATGCCTTTCACTGGGAGGATTATGGGAGAGAGAATCCCTAGAGGATCGTAGATGGAACTAACCATAGACAACAAACCCCGTCTTGTGAGCACTTTCCTCTGAATAGTTACTTTGAACTTCAAAGCATCGGATTCAATGCACCACTGGACTCCTAGGGCCCTTTCTAGAGGAAGAGAGTCTTTGTCCAAATCCAAATTTCTGACACCTGAGGCCCTTTCCTCTTCTGGAACAGATGCCAGGACTTTGCGACTGTTAGAGGTCCACTTGGTTACTCTAAATCCACCCAAAGCACACAGAGCTCTTACTTCCTGTATCAGTGCCACTGCTTCATCTTCAGATGCAACTGATCGCAGGCAGTCATCGACATAGAAGTGTCGCATCACTGTCTTGGATGCCTCTGCACTGAACTGATCTTGGAAGTGTTCAGCACATTGCCTGAGTGCATAGTTGGCACAACTTGGGGATGAGGTTGCCCCAAATAAGTGCACAACCATCCTATGTTCCTCCAATTCTTGTCTGTGGTCCCCCTGTGGCCACCATAGGAATCTCAGAAGATTCACGTCCTTGGCAGGGACCCGTACCTGATGGAACAGGCCTTCTATATCTGACATGAAGGCTACTGGTTCTTGCCTGAACCTCATCAAAACACCAATCAATGAATTGGTTAGGTCTGGCCCTTGAAGTAGCTGTGAGTTCAGAGAAATTCCCTGGAACTTGGCTGCACAATCAAATACTACCCTTATCTTATGCTTGGTAGGGTGGTAGACCCCATGATGTGGGATGTACCACGTTCTTGCTGCATTTTCCTTTTTGTGCACCTCGTCTTCTGGAATTTTCTCTGCATAGCCCTTCTCAAGCATGTCACTCATGAACTTGACATAATCCTGACAGAACTGCTCATTCCTCTTTAACTTCCTTCGCAGATGCTCTGCCCTTTGCACAGCCATCATGCGATTGTTAGGAAACTTTGCATCCACCGCTTTCAGGGGAAGACCAATGCTGAAGTGTCCGTCGATCAATTGTGCTGACTTAGACACCGAATCCATGAATCGTCTGTCTTCTACAGACATTTCGATTTTCTCTGCTTGCTGAGCTTCAGGAAAGTCAAGCTTCATCTGGCGATGAATGAGATCATCGAGACATGCCACAGAAACTCTGTTCACTGATACTTGTGGCCATTTCTCATCTTTCTGCTTATGGTTTTCCTTCTGCAGAGGGCCATTTACAACCCACCCCAGGACGGTTCTCGTAGCATAAGGCCCATTACCCGTGCTATTAACAACCTTCCAGGGCTCCAAAGCCTTTGGCACATTGGTTCCTATTAATAATCCCACACCAGCCTCAATATCCTGGATACGGATTTCCTTCAGGTGTGGCCATTTATCCACATCTTCTTGTCTCGGAATGCAGTCTTCCTTGACAGGAATCTCCCTTTGTGAATACACCTGGGGAAGTGACACATAAGAATCACCTTCCAATCCACAAATCTCCAATCCTGTGACAACCTGTGTGCTAACAGGTCTTGTCCCATTGTGCGCAGTAAGATGTTGGTCTTTCTTCCAGTCACATTGAGATGACGCATCAAGTCTTCAGAACAGAAACAAGCTGAACTGCCTGAATCTAAAAATGCGTAGGTCTGCACAACATGGGTTCCTTTCTCAGACTTAACTTTCACTGGAACCACAGCTAGAGCACATTTTGCATCCCCGGCCCCAGTGCAAACACAAGTTTCCTCATCCAATGATGGTGGACTGCTGTCAGTCGCCGTCTTGTTATACTCGGTTTGGCCAGTAGGCTTCCTAGCTATGTGCAGAATAGTAAGATGTTTCAATGAGCACTTCTTGCATGTTAGTCTCTGCTCACAAGTTTTGCTCAGATGCCCAGATGACAGGCAACCAAAGCATAAACCTTTGGACCTCAGAAAGTCCAGCCTCTCTTTGTGAGGTTTCTGCACAATTGACTAGCAAAATTCTAGCTTGTGTTCTTTCTGACAGAAATTACATTTATCAATGGAGGAGCTCAAGACCTTTGCCTTGCTTGTTGACTGTTTAGCTTCAGTCATGGATTCAGCACAGGTTACAAATGTGCTTTTCTTTTCTTTGTACCTTTGTGGGTTGCTAGGTTTTGTGATGCATTTGTCCTTTGAACTCACAGGCTCTTGAATGTTGCCAAATAATGGATCAGTAGCTATTCGTGCCTGTCTCTCCACAAAACACACCAAATCTTCAAACCTAGCTCTGACACCAGTCTTCTCTTGGATGTCACACGCGAATCCCCTCCATCTTTCTCTGAACCTGAAAGGTAGTTTTGCAATTATTGCACGCATGTTAGTTGGACTGTCCATTTCTTCTTTAAACTCAATTCCTTCCACTGTATTAAGGCAGCTTGTGAGGAAAACAGCCAATTCTGTCAATGATGCTCCATCTTCTGATTTCAAGACAGGCCATTTCAAAGCCTTCTCCACATACGCCATAGCAATGGTGTATTCGTTGCCATAATGCTGTTGCAATAGCCTTTTGGCCTCTTTGAACCCAAATTCAGGATGCATGTGCTGGCAACTTCGCACAAACACTTTAGGTTGACCGCTTGTGTACTGCTCCAGAAAGTATAAACGATCTTTACTACTGGAGGTTCTGTCCTCAATTCCATGTTCAAAAGCTTTAGTGAAAAATCTGTATTCAGTTGGGTCACCACTAAAAACAGGAATGTCCACTGATGGTAAGCATGACAACCTTTGCTGTTTCACAAGCAGCTCAGTGATATCGTTCTGATGCTTCATAACCTCAAGCAGGTTTCTAATCTGCATGTTGTCACGTTGTCGTTTGATCAAATCCTCTTCCGACATACATTCTTTTGCTGTATCATTCAGACTGCAAAATTGCACGTACACCTCTGTAAGCTCTGTTGATAGTTTCTGGGAAACTGTACCAGCATTATTTACATCTTCCATTAGAGCATCCATATCCTTCATTATTCGACAGAGATGTGCAAACTTGGATTTCCTTTCAGCCAATGTCATGCTAAGCTTTTGTTCCATGCCTTTAGAAGTCAGCCTTACTGTCCTCTTAGAACGCACAACAGCATCACTTTGTTCATGCATTTTGAATCTTCAAATATCGCTCTTTTCCACAAGCACAATTCCAATAATCGTCATATGTGGTAATTTTCCTTACGAGAGCTTTCCAAATTCCTCAGAACAAGCATTAGCTTACAGCACTAATATGCAAATTTAGCTGAGTGTGGCTAACTCCTTTTGCAAATCCAGACGCATTTCTTACTTGTTCCTTCGAACGGAGATCCAAACTTGAGGTCAATACTTGCTTGTAGATGACTGAATCCACTCTTCAGGAAATCCACTGGGTTTCTTAATCCATTTGGAGCTCTTTTCTGACTATCGTGAAGCCACGTTGTCTGACGAAGTCACGTTCCAACTCGCGTTTCTGGTTTCAAACTCAAAAGATTTATTTTCTCCAAAAAATGCAAAATAAAACGGTACAAAAAATGAAAAATGCTTATAAACTAACTCTTTTAACTGATATCCATGTTCTTAATTCCTTAGACCTAAAACTGCGGTCAGAAAAGGTGAAGCTCCGTCACATCAAACACCCGCTGGCTTGCTTCCTGAACGTGCCTGACGTGCCAGACCTTCCAACTCAGAAATTACCTACAACAAAGATCGCTATTGCCACCTAGAGGCAACTAGTGGTACTACACATATTTCAATCTTGTCAATTCTGTCACTTACAGGTTATAATTATGGGGTACCTTAAATTTTGCATCAAATAGTGATTGAAAATACATTATTCCTTTTTTGCAATCACAAAAAAGGTAAAACGGTGGGCTTGAAAGGAAATATAAAAACGTTTTTATAACAAACATTTTTTTTGTCATTTTTACAAACCAACTTTTTGTTCTTAAAGCTTTAAACTGCGAAACTGTCTATTTAGCCTTTGAAGTTTTCATTGAAACATAAAATTAAAACCATCTTTTTTATTATTATTATTTAGTTGTTATTATTTTTAAATAATTTACTATATCGTCTGGTATGAGAGAAATAACAGGGTAACACAAACAATCAGGGCTCTGGAAAGATGTAGGGGGCCACATGATGGAAAGACTGACCAATGACGCATTTCATTCAGGACAGCAAACTTCAATAAAAGCAGGATTCATTCATTGTTAGTAACAATGAATAGTAACGTACTATTGATTAATTCACTGCATGAATGACATTAAAAGATTAGCGACATTTGAGAAATTAAAAAAACATTTAAAAAAAATGCACAATGATTTTGTGTTATTGAAAGCAAAGTCTCATTCATACCTTGCCCTGTGTCATGGTGTCAGTCTTTACTACTCCTTCAGCAGATTGAATTAGTCTCCTTCCCGATCAGCTGATGAGGATCTGGTGTCTCTTTCCTTGATGTTTCACCTCTTCAATTCAGCAGAGGACTAACAGCTTGGAGACCAGAGGTAGGACTTAAAAAGCGCCGTGATGCCTGATGAGACAGAAAGCTGCGCACTGATGTAACCAAAAACATCGCAGTTTCCACTTGCGCGGATGCCCCTCCCACACCCACGGAGGGATGTTCTAGCAGCATCCAGAGGAAGCTGCTCCATAGGAGAGAGCTGGGACTGTACCACAGCCCCGCAGAACGCGGGGAGAGCCCGCACGTCATGAGATCTGCGTGATGCGTTTAGAGGTTCTCAAGTCTAGAGAAATCTAGAAACATGGTGTGAGGCAGAGCTGGGATGGGGAGCTGCTACAGAGCCCAAACATGTTAGGAAAGTTCTAGATCAGTTGGATAACATTTTTTTTTATCACATTCTGTAGTGTATTTTGTGTTTGTTTTCTGCAAGACCAACAGAAATTACAAATTATTTTAAAGGTGAAGGAAAAAATACATGATATTTATGAGAAATATAAGTCCAGCTGCCTGAACATCTCTTATAGCAGTCTGTATCCATCGTCTAAAAATGGAAAAAGTGGGGGGATAAAAAGAACAAAACAAAACTTATAAACAGGCATGGCCGTCTGCCAAAAGGATGGGGAGTCAGAGCACCAAGAGAAATCAATCAGAGAAACAGCCAAAAGGGTTGTGGTAACTCTGGAGGAGCTGCAGAGCTCTACAGCTCAAGTGGGAGAATCTGTCGACAGGATTGGATTCAGTTTTTGCTGACTCCAAGGGAAAATTGCCTGTTCCAATAGTTACTAAAACATACACAATGGTTAAAAGGGATGATGCGTGCCCTTAGATCAACATTATAATCAGTCTGACTTCTAATGAGCCGTGTGTAATCCCTGATATAAACTGTCTGATCTGTTAGGAAAATTATCATTGAAGATGTGTGAGTTTATTACACCTTGGTATTGGCTTCCTGTTGCCCATCAGAACTGACGTTTTAATCTAATTAAGACAGTTCCTCTGTCTGGATATAGTTATAATCGTCATTCAGTATGTGGCAAAGATTTGGAAATGGAATGAAAGCGGCCTCTTTCAGCTAAGAACAAAGTGTAATATTTTGATAAGGCTGGAGCCATGGATGTCTCATCATCTGTATGATGTAAAATAAGATGATTTGGCAGACTGGAGATGTATAAAATGCCTTTTTAACTGTTAATCGGGGCCACTTCCTTAGAGGTGAGCAGCTGCCTTCTGTAAACTCTAAGAAATTTCTCTAATCTGAGTAAGATTATAATTTCAGAATCTGTTGTCATGTCTCCTGGTTATTTAATACATATAAGTTATGAAGTGTTATTTAAAGAGTTTGTTCCGAGTGATCTCTTTTCAGGGAAAAGAACTGGAGAGATAGAGCATCAAGGTGCATACACAGAGACTATCTTTAGCAGACCCAGATGCAAATAAACAGTATGCCTGACAAACAGTGTACATTTCCCCGAACACACCCTTCCTATAACTTAATGGCTGCATGATGCTAAAAGGTTCTCTTTAGTAAAGATAAAGCATAAGAGAGATGGTTTGATTTGGAGTAATATAGGGGCAATCATGGAGGAAAACCTGTTAAAGAATGTGAAGGACTTCCCCTTCCAAAACGACCCACATATACAGCAAAACATACAGTCAGAATCACAAAATCTTTCTTCAAAAATAATTTCCATTCAATATGAATGAACGTGGATTTCTTTTGCAAAGTAAAACAGGGAAATATTTCGGCTTCTAGATAAAAATGTACATGGAAAAAAGACCTGCAGCTGTAATTATTACAAAATGTGATTATAGAAAATATTGGAGGATGCTGAATAAAATCTTTTACCAGACCTCTCAGTTTTATTTTATAAATATGTTGAAGGCCATTTATTCTTGCACACCACTTCACAACTATGTGATACTTTTATTTGGTAAAATCCCAATTTAAAAATACAGTTTTAAGAAATGTCAAGGGTTAATTTTTTAATACATTTCAATGCAATGTAACTTAACTGAACAGATCAAAGACAAGTTACCCAGAAAATCATAGCCAAATAAAACAAAGACATGTTTCTTATAGCCAACATGTGTACTTTTATAAAAAAAAAAAAAAAAAAAAAAAAAAACAAAGAACAGAAACACATTAAGAAAATATAAATAAATTACAAACAGATCCAAATGAAATGGCAAAGGCATACTGGGTTACATAGACCACCATTACCTTTGGCCATTTTTTTTTTTTGTAAAGCTTTTATGTTGCTGACCATAATGAAGGCTCTGACCTTTATTTAAAACTGTTTGCTTCATAAAGATGGACATATGGAGCTACGTATAACTGATCTGAAATTTGTTGTAGAAACACTCAAACCCTGTACAACAGGATGCATTAAAGCTTCATAACCCAAAAAGTAATAACAAGCAAAGACAAAAACCTAAGCTTAAATTTACTGAACATCCTTGTTGATATCTTTTATTGGCAAATATAAACACAAGTTTATTCCAGTCAAGTCCGACAGAGATAAAATATTTTATCAGTTATTTCTTTAATGGATCTGCAGCTTCACTCCATCTCCCCCTCCCCTCTGCATCCCTCCAGTCTGAGGTCTGAGTCATTCCTGCTCAGGGTGAAAAGACTGATGACAGCCATCAGAGCTGCCAGCATCATGGCGGCGCAGCCTCCGAACATGTGTCTGGTGCCACCGCCGCCCTCTCCACCTCCTGTCCCAGAGACTTCCCCGTGGAGTGCCAGCAGTCCTAGGCAGGCAAGCAGATGCAGCGGTAGTCGGAACCAGGCCAGGACACCGGCCCGTTTCTCCTCTGGGATTACTCTTCGCTGTAGGAAGCTGACTGCAGGGAAGTAAAGTCCACCAGCCAGCTCCAGCAGCAGGAAGGCTAGGAAGGAATCATGAGGCCTCGGCTGCCCTGGCACGGTAGAAAAGGTTAGCATGAAAAATGAGAAGAAGGCCATCAGGATGGCAAGGCAGAGCACCTGACCAGGCTGCAGATGATAACGAGTTGAAGTGGCTAAGCGGTACAGCAGAGAGCCGACCATACTGGCAGCCATGAGGCAGGAGAAGACGATTCCTAGAGGGGGACCATGAGGGTCAAGAACCGGAGTCCACAAAAAAACAAATATGTAGAGGACACTTTCAAACAGCGCCTGCACTCCACCTAAGAGCAGGACCCTCTTGTCCGACAGCAAGCAGCGCAGTCCGTCATGGCAGCTGCGTGAGAATCGCTCTTTAGCAGACAAACGAGCAACACCTCCATTTGCAGAGCCATGTATCATTGTTTGTTTCTCTCCTTCACCTCCTTCCGCTTCCTCCTTACCCCAGTCTGTTAGTACCACCCAACCGCAGCAGCCCAAGCAGGGTACAGCCAGCAGGAAGGGAGCTACTGGTCCAAGGTGCAGCCACTCAGCCAGCAAGTTAGCCACAAGCCCCGCACCCACGGCCAGGCCATGGTTCCAGGTGGCAACTTTATTAAAGGTGCTGGGGATCCATTCTTTAGGAAAGTCGTGGACCTCTACATGTCTGTGCACATACCAGGATTCAAAGGTGGTGGCAAGCAGGGATGTGGACAGCCCCCCAAGGATGCGACCCACAATTAAAACAAAGTAGTCCCTGGACAGCTTGGTGAGACAGCAGGCGGAGTAGGACACACAGAAGAGCAGACATGTCAGTCTGCGGCCCAGAGCTTGAGGGAGCCAGCCTGAAAAAGGAGCAAAGAGGACACAGGAGGCCAGTCCGCACACATATAAAATAGCTATTTGAGATTCCAAGAAGCTGTAATGACGGTAGAGTTTGTAGAGGTAGGGACCCTGGAGCCAGTCTGCCCACAGGGCCAGGAGGTATGCCCGTAGAAATATACTCTGGAAACGACGGAAAGCCGGGTTGGCCACAGCAGTGGGGGTGGACTGAGGGGGGGTGAGGCGGCGGGCTGTGAACTCCAGGCCAACACACAGAGCCAGCAGGACAATTATGGCAAAATATGCGGTCACCAACATGTCGGATCAGAATGGCAGCCAGTTAGAGACAAAACCGAGTTTAAATTGTGATCACAATTATTTTTCTCCTGTACTGCTGGACCTGGAAATAAACACAAACAGAAATGTGTACAACTGAGTAAAACTATGTTATCATTCATCACCCACTTCTACTCTGATTTTCTCTGCAAAACACAACAGTTAGGAAATATTAGTTGCACTAAAATATAAAGCTGAACTCGTTTACATTGAATCGAACGCGAACAGTTCATGTAACTGTCGTTAGCATGGAAGCTAACATGCTACCACCAACATAAAGGCGAATGTTTTTAAAGCAGAAAGATAATTACTTTTAGTATATAAACTGGGGCGTCCAGTGTATCTTACCGTATCGGTTAACATCGATCCCATGTTAAATGTGTGATACAATAAATAATAACACTGAGATAAAAAGAGAGACTAGGATTGTAGCATGTGTAAATTAGCAAACACATCCTCTTCCTGGATCCCTATATAATATTTCGCCAGCAGATGGCGCTCCTAGCTCAAATGTTCACTGATGAATTTAAACCGTCACGTGGTATAAACCATGACTATTTTTTCTCTCTCATACATATTATAATTAGTTAGAAAATGGGTCAGTAATATTATTTCTAATATCGTTTAAGTATGTATATTTTAAACATATAAAAACCTGAACATTCTCCATTGTGGGACAATAAAGGGATTTTCTATTCTATTCTAGATTAATCTATATTAATCATTTATATTAAACTATATAATTGTTAGTTATGTAACCATTAAAATAAAATGATTATAAGAAATGATTTGTGTTCAATGCATGTATATAATATTTTTTGGTTTAATGATCTGAAACATTGTGTGATTTAAAAATGAAGAAAATTATAAGGGTAAAGCTTAATCTAGAGACATCTTTTAATCTAGAGACAACATTTGCCCATATCATGACATAACTACCACTTAAAAAAATATTTCCAGAGTTAATGCTTGGATATAATGTTTTTCATTTCCACAAGGAACCTTCTATTAAAAAGGAAAGAGTTTTATTTGGATCTTTTCCGTCCTTAGAACATGCTTATTCTCAAGCAACACATGAAGTTAAGGGATAGAAAGATTTGTTCTTAAGAACTTTCCCCTGATAGGTTAGGCATGCAGATTGCTGCATAGAGAAACTTATCTGAAAATTACTCATGAATGATAAGAAAGTCAATGTGAAAGACTCATTTCAGAGTAACTCGGAGTACCTTTGTGGCCTCAGTTGTTATATATCTCAACGACTACAGGGTAGTGGTTTTTCATTTCCTGCATTTGCTCACAGTCTGTGACTTAAAGCTGTGAGTTAGGTTACAGTAGTTTATGAAAGAACCTCTGCTATTAAGCTGTATTCAAACTTGATGGCATCAATAAATATTTTTCTTTATAAAACTTAAACTATTTTGAATATGTTGAAAAACTTTCACTTGATAAGTACAAATATAAAACAGATTGTTTTGAAACCACTGTGGTAATAATCTGTTGTTAGTGATATAAAACTTTCCAGTTTGAAGTATTTTTACATGATATGATTAAAGTTTAATGAATGTTAGTTGTAATCTGAAATTCAGTTTATTGCAAACTGGCAAACACTTCTTGTTATAAAACTTGAATTAATTATCTTTGTTTTCATTTAACCTCTATTTATCCAGGTAAACTTTTTTAGAGCCAGTTTTCATTTACAAGCATGACCTGGCAAAGAGCCTGGATGAATGAATAAAATTATACAGTACATATAACATAGCACAACATTTACATTAAAAAAATAGATATAAATAAAAATAGATTAGATTACATTAGATTCAACTTCTAATAGAAGTGAAAAATGTGCTAAGGTTGAATTTAGAAGGTTATCAGCAGGAATGAGTCAACTCTAGTGCTTTGAATGTTCTGCTTTAATGTGGAGATAGGGATCAGAGCTGGAAGTTTGAGGGTGTTCTGGAGTGTGTTCCAGATCTGTGCTGCAGCAAAGACAAAGGGTTTAGTGCAAGAGTGAAGGGTGTTGCAGAAGAGCTGAACTTTATTATGTTACTTGATCTTTTTCAAAGTGTTCTAGTACCATAAAGAAGGGATGACAAGTAGAGAGGTTTCTAGCCCAAGATTGTCTTGTATATGAAGAGAAACCAAAGGAATGTTCACAATATAGTTTTATTTTATTTCACATGATTCCACTTTATTCATTGCAGTATTTTTTCCCCTCTAATTTATCATTAAAGTTTGTGTTATTCATTTCACAAAATTTATTTTTTATAATTTTTTTCCTAGGCTTAACTTTTTTGGCTATTTTATTTAACTTTTGGCTATTTTTTTCACCAGCTTAACCTGTTTGTGTTTATACCTTGTATTGCTTAACTTTGCTCGCCTTTTGTTTACATTAACTATACTTCATTTTACTTTGCTTTACTTCATCATTACTTTATTTATTCGTATTTTAATCTATCTTAATATAAGATTGCTTTATTTTGTTCTCATCATTACAAGCATCTATTTGTTCTGAAACGTAACTCTATTTTGATTTCGTCGTCGCTGAATCAGGAAACCTTCATTTTCTGTTATGATCATAGTGAAAGCTTTAGACGTCAGCCTCAGCTTACATATGTTCACTAATTAAGTGAAACACCCAGAATTTGAAAAAAAAAAAAATTCTGGACGACATTTTGCCAAACAGATGCAATAAAGGACACAGAAACAGAATGATGCACAATTTGAGTTTTATATCATTGTATACTTCTATTCAGGAGGAAAAAAAAAAGAAAGTTTACAAAATGTACAAGGTGTGCATATTAGCCATAATCAAACAAGCAGTGAGAAGATCGGATTAGATCCTTCAGCCAAAAAATATCTCTTTTGTTTGTATGACAAACATTGGGGGGCAGAGGATGGGTTCATGAGCTTTAAGTGCTGGTAATATCAAGGATTATGCTGGTTAGTTATAATATGTGGAAGTGTGTCCAAGACATCTCAGAATCCCCTTCAACACAGTCCTCTGTGCTTTACCCCTTCAGCGTATAGCCAGAGCCCTCGCTGAGTACAGGAAGGCAGAATACATTCTTCTTTATACCAAACTCTATCCTTCAAATCTCTCATGCATATTATACATACATAATAGGGTAACATAATATTTACAAAGTGACAGAAATGAACAAAGAAGTTTTAAGGTTCACTGTGCAGGGAGTGTCTCCATTGGTTCATATGTGATAAAAGTACGATGATCCAGACAGAAAGTTAATCTGAAATAATTCAAAAGCCACTGATGTATTTCAGCACAAGCTCTGGTGGAAAACAGGACAGAATGCATCCTGTTGTACAAAAGTGACACATTAAGCACAGAAGTCTTAATTCTGATGGTATGTTTATGAAACAGAAATCACTAATTAACTTAACAGTTGTGGCTTCACTATAGTTTATGTACAGCTTCCCTTTCTTCTAAATATGACTAAGATCTGATCATTTACCACCAGTGGTCCCTAATTATTTACCATGTTGTTCATCTATTTTCATCCTCTAGCTGCTGGTTACTCATAGTCCAGTGATACTTTGTGAACTTAAATAGATCAAGTGAACTTGACCGAATTTCTTCTAAAGCTTGATATAATGAGCAAATACACAAAAGATCTGTCTAAGATTGAAAAAGTAACTCTATTAATTAAGATTTTTCTGGAGATAACAGTGATTTATGTACACGAGTTTTATGGATGTGTATCTTTTTATCTTAAAAACATTGCATATGTATTAAACATGAGTTGGAAATAGGTCCCCCCCCTCAATTGTTCTTTTTTGCACATTCTTCATATTGCACCGCATCTTGTCTCTCGCTTTTAAAGGAAGTCCTGTCTTCATAAAGTCTGTATTTCAATGTCTTTGCTTTATTCCACATGAAACCAGTCTCCTCCTCATGGGTCAATTCGAAAGGCCAGCAGTTTGTCGGAGTGCAGGTTGTTGAGGGTTCGCAGGTCTGGCAAGCGCAGCAGGAGTTTGGGGAAGAGGGCCGAGTCGTCTGGGCGTCGGCGACCGATCAGTGATCGGAGGGCGCGGATCAGACCCTCCTGAAGCTGCTCCACAGCTCTCATGTCTGAGATCCCAGAACGGTCTGCAGGATACACAGGTTCACAGTGTGAGCTGATAGGTACTTAATCAATAGCCTTAATTGTTCTGAAGCAATTTCTTACTGATCTGGAGCATACTCAATACTTTGAAAAAAATATTCAGCACTTTTTATTGTTTTCACATTTTTGTCAATTTTCACTCACTGATGTTTATCTTATTTGGATTAAATACTATGGACCATCACATAGCAGTGTAAACAGTAAAAGCTGAGAGTGATAAATGGTTTAATTATTAATATTATTTATCCCTTTCTCACAAATCATATCTCAGTGTGCAAGTGTTTGGACTATCTTTGCACAGCTTTGCACATCTGGAGATTTTTTTTTTACTGGACTTTGAATGGGACATTATGTAAAAAGGAGGTGATCAAACCATTTCCTGAGAGACTCTAACTCTTGTATTTAGAGTACTAGTTCTACTGAAGAGATTACCTCCAGTTGATGTTCCTGTGTTTTGCAGCTTCTAACAAGTCCTCATCCAGTTAACTCTGTATTTAGCTCCACCAATCTTCCCATCAAACACAATCAGCCTCTATAGCACTATTATTTTACTATTGTACTACTGATGAAAAGCATACCACAGCATTACGCTGCCACCACCATATGTTACAGTGGGCATTGTAATTAAGTGAGTTTCCCCTTTACCCCTGATCTGTTTAGTGTTTCTCTTGGGTTTATTGGGCTTTCTGCTCACTAATCTTTACCATCAAACTAGATGTGAAATTAAATCACTCATAGCTAGACTAATCAGATGCTAATTAGGCAGCATCTGAAGATATTTGGTTGCACTGATAATGGATAAGGTGTACCAGATTAGAGTAGGTTTACATTACTCTTTTAAATAGACTCCCAAAGAAAGAAATGTAATGTTTGTTTTATTTATAATGTTAGAAAACTGTAAAGAATATGATGACTTTTGAAAGGTAATGTAAAAAAAATTTTTTTCTATTACCTGCAGAAACCAGAACCACAGCCATGAACAGAGCCATTTCATCAGGCTCCAGCCCCAGGGAGTCCAGCTTCTCACTGAATTCAAACATTGCATCCAGAAGAGACCCCATGCCCAAGACTCGCAAAGTTGACAGGGGGTACGTTTGACCATTTAAGAAAGTTACTGTACGCTGCTCGGCATTGAACAACGTGCAAAACCTCACCATGAGTACCTAAACACACAAATACACACAGAGAAAATACATCAGTGGATATAGAGTAATATATGATTTGCAATCACTCACTGTGTGGAAAGTTTCAAACAAATCATATTGGTGAGATTACCTGGAAGGTTCCGGACTTTAACAGCATGACCTGGTCCTGTTGGCTTAGCTCTTGGAATCCAGGAATGCCCTTGGCAAACTCCACCACCTCCTTCACAGCAGGGGTGAAACACTGAGAAAAGGACTCCCATATCTCCTGACTCGTTCGCTCTGCTCCTGATACAGGGCACGCATTGAGGGGACAGGCCTGGGGGAGAAACAGAAGTATGCACAAAACCATCAACTGCTTGTCAAATAAGAGAACTATTAGCAATACTTTTTTATTTTATCACACCTACCAGCACTTTTGCTCCTTGTGCTAATTTCCATGGACAGGAGGCTGCATTTTGGGCAACTTCTCCAGTGGGAAAACTGCTATGATTGGTGGGGCTGACCCTTTGCCTCATTGCAGCATTCGATTGGCTTTGATTCTGATTTGTTGACACTAAATAGGAAAACTGATTGTTGTCCACTTTGTGAAACACAGGTTGGTTTTCATTAGAGGTGACAGGACACATAGCTGTGTGTGAAACGGGGCAGGACTGATAACTCTGGGTGGAACTGGGATGAGACTGTGCTTGGAAACTACCATCTCGAGGAAAGGTTGAAGCATTGTTGTTGTTGTTGCTGCTGCTGTTGGAAGCGGAAATGCTGGCCCTGTTGGAGGATCTTTCATGGCTGTTGTTGGTGGTGAAGATGTCACGATAGGCTCTGGATATTGTCCCAATGGCCTCTTTTGAGCTGCAGTCATCTGTGCTGTTGGTACTCTCCATAATGGGAGAGTCCATATCCATGGGAGCTGACTCATTCAGGCTGTTCATGTAGCTCTGCATCTCATCAAGGAGTCTCTGCTTCTCCCGTTTAGGAATGCGGCCAAAACGGACAGCTAAGGATGACATGAATATGAAGGAGAAACATTAAAACTCAGGCTTGGCACATTTTATCATTTTATTTATATCTGAAGTTATTTCATATTTGTTTTTAATCACAAAAGTCAATTTTTCAGCAGTCTTTGTAAGGATCAAATACGTCTAAATTTAAACAAACAAAACAATGAAAATCATAACGAATCAAGAGCTCCGGAAAGAGGAGGCATGTGCATTACACCTATTAGGAAGAGTTAAGGAAACAGACTGCAAGAGAAATATATGATTTTTGAGACCTTTGGGGTCTCAAAAATCATACAAGATTTCTGCAAATTTTGAGTTAAATCTCTGCCTTCTTCCCCCCCTTCTCCTGAACCCATCAGCTGGAGAGAGGCTATTTATAGTCTCCCTGCTGCCATCTCCCTCATCCTTCTCTCCATCCAGCCCTGTTCTCTTCTTCCAGTCCTCCCTCTCTTGCAACTGCAAGTAGGGCAGTGGGGCAACATGAGCATGATGTCAATGATATGAAGGTGGCAGAGGAACAAAAATTGGGGGGGAAAGGTAGGTTTCAAGTTTGCATATGAGTCAAGGAGAGAGCAAAGATAACGTGAAAAAGGTTGACATGAAAGACTGCAAAATGTTGAAAGTGAAAAAGAGAGTGTGAGGGACTGCATGTCTGTGAGTACCCACAAGATTATGTTTGATAAGGCAAGGAGAGCTAAAACTGGAGCAACTTCAAAGACTTCTGCAACCAAGGCAAGGCAAGGCATCATCCCAACACCAAGTGCTTTACGTGGAACAGAGGTACAGATATTCACTTAAGAAACAAAAAACATGTTGGAAAAAAAGTATTTAAGCTCCAAGTAAAGAGAGGCAAACACTAAAAGATACTAATTTAATTCAAATAGCCAAAATGCAAAGCATGGTAAAATTAAAACGTTTAAGTAATATTGAACCTTTATGAGAAGGCTGCAATAAATAATTAATTTTTTAGCTCAGATTCGCTGCCTCCTCTATTTAAATTCTGATCTTGGAGTCATTGTGTCTGATGAACTAAAATCCTCTATATTGTCCCTGTGGTAAGGCCATCAACAGTTCGGTCGGGGGATTATGAACCAATAAATCAATTGTATCTTTCTTAAAAATTGAGCCAGTACAGTGATCTGAAGACGGTACAGTGGCTCCTTTGTAGTCTCTTGTGTGTTTTTAAATTATAGTAAAAAACCTTAGACTTTCAGGACCACATATATGACTTTTCTTTTCTGCTTTTATCAATATCTCGGACACACCAACTCAGTGAGTGCAAAGAAGTTGTGTTGTCACAACTCCTTTGTGACAACTCCATGTGTTGACACAACTACAAAAGTCTTCAGCTTAGGTATGGTAAGAGTACTCAGCATAGAGGAGTTGTAAAAAGATTAAATGTATGTATATATATATATATATATATATATATATATATATATATATATATATATATATATATATATATATATATATATATATATACATATATACATATATACATATATACATATATATATATATATATATATATACACATATATATATATATATATATATATATATATATATATATATATATATATATATATATATATATATATATATATATATATACATATATATACACACCCACTTTTTCCACCAGTCAGTATGATACAATCGGCTGTGTTGAATGCAGCACTGAAATCCAGTTAAGGACAGCTCTTCTTAATGCAGGATGACAGTTAAGTGCGATCAGGCAACAATGATTTTAATACAAACTAATGTCATTCCTTGTGTAGAACTTGAGGAACTTTCTGAAATATACTGATGATGTTTTAGGTCAGATGCGCCGCAAAGAGCAAAGCCGCATTTAGCAAATATGCATCCAGCTTGCTGTCGCCTGCAGGAACTTATGATGAGGAAGCACACGATGTGAGATTAATCCCCTTTTATTATGTTTCAAAACAGCCAAAGTCAGACTAATGAGCTGCTTTTCTAAATATGATGCTCCACTTAGAGGAACAAAAAGTGTGCCAGCCTAAAAAAAGACTTTGAACATTTGCTTATTGCAGAGTCTAATTCGCACAGCTGCCTGCTGGTGTGAAATCAGGGTGTACTATTTATTGTGGGCTGCAGGCAGTTGCATGTGGTTTTCCTGTTTTCGTAATGGTTGAAACAGAGCAAAAAGGGGTTTCTAGGTTGTGGTCCTGAACATTTTCTAAAATGTTCCCCCGTAGAGGGGTCGGCCTGACTGCCTTCTTGTGGAGCTGCAGTGTTATCGCCTAATTTTCTCTCTGCACCAGAAGTGTCAAGCACATGCAGAAATAACACTAACCTCTTTACTAGATTAGGCAATGCAGAGTGGTGGAGGATGGAGATAAGCAGAAGCCATACTGAGAGGAAGAACACAGGCAAACTACACTACACAAGTAGGTCACGATGTGTGAGTAGACTGTGGGGACAAATCTTTATTGTTTTTCTAGGTCAACCAAACGGTTCTTTTAATGTGGGACGATAGGTGATCAATCAAGTCTCAGCTTTCTGAGGTAAAACCAGGTGAAAGTAGAGCCATGCCAGAGGAAGCCTGTCCAAACAATGTTTTCTGCATGCTTTGCTTAATTGCTGCTTTGCTCCCTATTATCAGCAGCGAGATGTGCGTACATACACAACATAATCAAGCTGACCCTGTTCCAATTACCCAAAATAATTCTTGTGTTTGCTGCAGTTTTTCAGATGATAGATGGCTTGAGGGACTTCAGGGCTCCTTTTCTCATAAATCACTGTCCGAGCGGGAGTGTAGGAGAGCTGAGGGAACAGTGTCGGAACATAAAGGGGGGGGGGGGGGGTATTAAGGTAAATGTGTTGTGGGAGGATGCTGCAGAGGGCAGCAAAAAGACACTCAGAAACTTATTAGAGTGATACAAAGCCAGGTGATTTGTGGCATTGTGGTGACAAAATAGAAGTGAAAGACAGGTGCAGGTCCTCTAATGAGAAAGTAACTGAGCTACTGGCATGATGACCTAAAAACCTCCTTTCTATCAGACCTACATACAGTATGAGCACTGAATTTCTTTCTGGCTGTCCATTTCTCTGCTGCCTTGGCTAATCAGAACACTGTGACATTTTGGCAGCATTGCACAAGGTTTTAACTCATTAAACAGAAATACATCAGGACGTCTCACCATCTCTTGACATGCCGACAGAGATGCATTTCTTGAAACGACAGTGCTGGCATCTGTTACGGTTCATGCGCATGATCAGACAGTTCTCATTTTTGACGCACATCTTGTAGTTGATATTCTGCTGGATGCTGCGTCGAAAAAAGCCCTGACACACAAACAAGGGTGCAAGAGTTAAGGAAATTTGAACACTTTTAAAAACTGCCAGCATCTCTTTCTTTTGAGTGTCTCACCTTGCAGCCCTCACATGCATGCACGCCATAGTGGAAACCAGATGCAATGTCTCCACAAACTTTACAGAGCAGGACCATTCCACCAGTTTCTGGGGATGGAAACAATAATAATTAGATAACTATTTTTTTTTTCTTCTCAAAAGGGAGAATAGATGTATGTATATAAATAGTTGGATATAAAAAGGGAGAAAAAAAAACAACTGACTGGTAAAGGTTCCTGCAAATCCGCAGGGCCTCTTTCCTGCAATGGGATGTGTGTAGGGTTGCTGTTGAACAGCTGTGGATGGGGAAGCACTGTAGACATCTGGGAACTGGAACACCAGTTTGGAGGTTGGGGTGCTGCCCCCAGTTTCCCTCCCCTGTTTGAGCGCCCCGATCTCTGTGAAGGTAATCTCTTCTGGAGATGAAGGCTGGGAGTGTGATGAGGGGGACTGTGTTTGGTACCCACTGGAAGGGCTGCCAGGGCTTGGACTGGCACTTCCTGATGATCCTGCATACAGGATGACACCACCTCCTGCAAAGAGAAATGAGGGACATTAAACATCATAGTCACTAAAACCTTAGGTTTATGATTACAGTTACATCCAACTTTGCACTTCATTGTTTGATTTTTACAGAAAAGTAAAAATGGAAATATCTTCAATATTTTTTGGGTCATCTTTGTTTACAAACTGAATATAGGAAACGATTAAAGATTGTTGGATAGGAATGGAGTTGAGGCACGATTTTGAAAATGGATCGGAGTCAACCAAGTGCTCCCTTTCTGCCTTGAGTTGAAAATATCAGATGCGTAGTTTGATAATCCATCTAAACTTTTTTTTTATGTCATTTAAAATCTGAAAATTCTTTTTTTTAATTCTGGCTACTGTTCACTGTTCAGTTGTCCAAATGACAATATTTTGGAATGGGATTTGTGTGAAATAATGTGCTTTTCCAAATATTAAATCTATCTATCTATCTATCTATCTATCTATCTATCTATCTATCTATCTATCTATCTATCTATCTATCTATCTATCTATCTATCTATCTATCTATCTATCTATCTATCTATCTATCTACCCCCATTTGTAGGTTTAGCTCCTATCTATTTGGTGGATTTAATATGATGCAATACTGCAAAGGATTTTTTTTAAGATCAAATGTGTTTTTGTGTCGCTTCCTGGGTATAGCAGGAAGGATAATGGTGCGATCATGCGGATAAAGTGGGTTCTAAAAATACTGAGGGCAGCTCGCCAACACGGCAGACAAACCCTTTGACTGTAGGTTTATGCACCACCTAAACGCTTCTAATGGTCAATAATTCATCTACACTGTCTTAAAATCCGATGCACCCCTCGCATCTCCCGTCACTCTCTCTTTCCCTCCATGTCAGCTGCTGTAGATGAGCTGAGAAGCGACCTCACGTGTTGCGGGGTCCGCTGCTTCCTCCGCTCTTATAATAGCCGCGCGCTCCCGTGGCACCGTGCCCGGCGTCAGCTAACAGCACGACACCTGACCGCCGCCTCACATGCATGGACTCCTGACACGGTCACCGCCCGAATCAAATCCGCAGTCCCGTGTAAAGGGGTATAAACATGCCGATCGGAAGTCGGAATCTGTTTTTATAAACAAACTGCAGGCTTAAGTTGGCACAGAGGACTATGTGCACAAACTAAGTTTAGGAATGCAATATACAAAGAAGAAGAGTTAACTGTATGAACAACAGCTGGTTGCACTTTATTCTGTGCATAGGAGGTTTGATATGATCAATTCAAAGGCAAACATAATGTTCTTGGACAGTTAGATGGCATTCCTTCATTCAACACTTGACAAAGTAAAGTCAGTGCTTCTTTTGGAGAAGCAGCTTTTAGTTCCCACTTATCTGGAACAAACTTCCAGAAAACTGTAAAAGCCTGATTTCCTTTAAATCAAGACTAAAAATGTGTTTAGGATTGCCTTTGACTGTTCTAGTTAAACAGTTCTACTGAAACATCATTAGTTCAACTTTTTTATTTTCTTTAGTCCAACTGTTTTTAATGTTCTTTTTTGTTGCTACATTTTTTATTTAATTTTTTTTCCTACTTGCTTTGATTCTGTTTTATTTTCCTATACTTTAATCATGTAAAGCACTTTGCATTTTTTTGTACTGAATTGTGCTATACAAATAAATTTGCCTTGCCTTTCCTTTGCCTTGCCTTTTGCCCACTGTTAGAGAAAAGGTCAAAACTTTCTGCTGCACAAGTTCCAGGCCGAGCTCAATGTTTTGATAATCCCTGCACCATCACGTGTGGGTGGATTTGTTGACTCATGATAGACTCATATCCAGCAGACACAGCCCTCTCTGCCTTACTTCTCATGAGCTTAAATACAGACAGTCAAATGCCCTGCCTTCCACTCTACACAACACATTGCATGTACACCTGAAGACTCACATGTCTGTTTGACTTGTGTTTATGAATGACCTCGCCAACCGTTAAAGCTGTCAATTAATAACCTGTGTGGCATGCTGCTTTTTAGTAGTCATGTGGAAGGTTTGTTGACAACATTATCTAAAGACTTGGAGCTCAAAATCATTTGACAGACAAGTCGGAAATAATGCATATCTATTTTAATCATGTTTGTAGGCCTGCAATATTTCAGCAAAGCTATTAAATTATTTTGAGGTATTTATATGTATAGTTAAAGCTATTTAAGTATTCCCTGTTTGAGGTAATAAAGAAGGGTTCCTAGGAGCAGGGCGCTTTTTAGCAAGATGCACACAGATAAAATGATGGCTCTAAGGAAACACTTGAATTATTTTGAGCTATTCAATAGATCAATGTTCACAAAGAGGAAAGTTGGCTAAACCTGAACTTGGCATATCATCTTAAGCACCTTATATCCACTGGCATTTGAATTAGAGTGAAAAGGTTATTCCAGACTCTGGTCAAGCTTTCAACAGTTCCAATATAAACCTCTGTCTATATACTTTCTGTTGGGATACTCAGCTGAAATTTAGTTAAAATCTGCCAATTCCACAGAATGGAAGCAATTCCACCACTTAATGCCTTAAAAAGGTCTAAGTCTAGATATCTTCAAAGCTTTAGAGGGAACTCATGTGGAAATTCAGAAACAAAAAAGGAGGTGGATTTTTTTCAGCTTGGTGCTGGCTATTGGTTCTGCTTTTTTGAGTAGATATGAATATGTTATGAGCATTTGACCATTTTAACAGTTAAAAATGACCAGATTTCTCGTCCTTTCTAACTTCTTTGCCATGAATATATAGATATATATGAAAGTATACAATTATTGTTCTATGGCAGCTCTGTGCCAAAGGTATTTCCTACCCACAACTGAAGGATTAGGCTGTATTGGCAGAATTCCCAAACTGAAACTTTTCTACTTTTACTGTAATTTCTCATTCAAACAAGTGAAAAATGCAGGCTCGCTGTCATAGTATGGACATCAAAACATCTAAAAATATAGGTCACAGATGACATCTTTCAATGGGTCAGTCATTCCTCTCAGCCTGCCTTGAGTCTAGCCTACTCGTGCAAGCACTAATCTGTGACTCCAGGCAGGCAGAGAAACGTGAGATGAGAATAAACCAAACAGAGCTGAGCACGTTGTTTTCCGTTTATCCCTTTCCCTCATGCATTATTGGTGTTTGTCGGGCTTTGGGTATGAAATTTACGAGTTTATTTGCTACCTGAAAAACGTATTACTCTACCAAAATGAATATTTGTGGATAATACATGTTAGCCGTCACTTTTATAGTTATGTGTTAGAAATATTAAACATCAGATCAAAATTTAGCAAAGTAAACTCAATATATGCAATTTTGGATGAAGTGTAAAACATCTTTGGCCTGACATATTAAAACTTATCCAGATCAAATGAATGCAGATTGCTACAAAAAGCTTTTTCATAGCTGCACTTGTGAAGAGCAATGCTTTCTGAATGTATTTGCAGGTACCCTGCAGCTGGGAGAAAATTATGCTATTATTAATAATAAATTAACTGTAATAGAAGAAATAGCCACCAACTTAAAAAAAGCTTTTCATGCATCTGGAACTTTGAATTTTCTTATAAAAATGTGAATCCATTTGCTTATTAGGCTAATGGTAGCACAAGAGCAATGTATTTCTTTATATTTTGGACTACAAGAACTGAAGTGTATCATATGAAGTTTGTTAAGATTTGTATGGTTATAAGATGAATTTTTTTTTTCAGGGGTACTAACAGAAACATATTAGATTTTGAGGTCTGGCTTGGTGAGAATTTACTTTTTCTCAATTGAAATTACTGTATTTAAAGCCCTACCAGGTCTTTTTTCCAAATTAACAGTTGAAAACTTTTCGTTTTTAGATGTGAACTAAAAGTAAACAACTTTCAGAAATGCATTTCCCTCATTCAGACTTTATCATTGCTTTTTTTTTCTCTATGCTTTGCAAAAACAAGACATTTTACCACTGAACTCAAAGGGTTATGTTCCCCTGATTTTTATTTTTATTATTATTATTATTATTATTTTTACATTTTGTTGGAGGGCATAGGGAGGATAAAACAGTTTTAAAATGAAGATGTGGATGTTGGCACTTGGAAATCTTGGTTCTTGTTATAAAAAGTTTGAGAACCAATGTCTCCCTTCCAGCACTTGATATTTGCAGCAGGCTTCCACAGACTTGTGTAAGTAGGTCAATATCACAGGAACTTTAGAGAACTGTGTCTATGTGCCTGCAGCATCTTTTGAAATTGGTTGCCATCAAATTGCATCTCAGGCTCAAATACCTATTCTCATGTTTAAAATAAGCGCTACTGCATAAACTAAAAATAAGTGTCAGTCTATGATGGCAACACATTTATTTGCTTTCTCTTGCAGGTTTATCTGCATCATCCGAAGCACAGTCACGTTACCGCGGATACCCACCCTAAGCGGATGTGTGCTGTGATCTAATGCGGACAGATGTTGCAGCCTGGAAATAGTCACATTCTACTACACTGCGGATTCCGTGAGACAGAGAATGGGAGAAACGGAGATGGTGGACTATAAAAGAGGCATGCGGTAAAGAAACGTGACCGGGGAGGAGGGAAAAAAAGAAGTTAATACACGGAATCGCTGACCCACTGACCAAGCGCTCCCTCTCTGTCGCTGCGGGCGGCAGGAAAGCTGCAAAAGGCATGAGGGGAGAGAGGGACAGGCTATCTCACGCGCTGCACGCGGCTCTGCAAGGCAGGGCACGTGAGGGATGCTTTTGACGAAGTTTTTCTTTGGGAAGAAACGAATCTGCGCTCCAGCAAAGAAAGGCATCCTTTACATCTGCTGAGGGGGGCGCGTGATTAAAGCAACGCATTAAATAGAGCAGCATGTTTAGGGAGTGGGTGGCCTGATAACAGCAATGACTACACCGTCAGTCAAAACGCAGGGCAAAAACTAGCCCATTTGGAGCGTCTAACTGAGATCCTCCAATTTCTCGTGAATTCCAATATATTATATTAAATAAATAATTTATTTATTCAAGCCACCAGTTCTTAAGTAACACATCTACTTCTAAAAATGCTCTGAATAATAAAAGAAGATAAAAAAAATATTCCATGTAGCCCTAAAGCAAGTGATTTTTGTGCTTTACAATAGGAGTCTCCAGCAGGGGGTGTAAGAGGAAGTTTTAGATTGAATTTTAAGGACTCCTGGGTGCCTTCAGCAGGTGCACCTGAACAATCAGGTCAAAAATGTTATCTTAGCCTACCTTTACCCCCAATTTCTTTTTTGTTCGTGCAATGCAGACAGTGCGATTTTTAAATACGTTTCTCCTCGTGATCTTTTGATTTTATCCAGACTTTCACAGCTGACATTTACCTCAAAACATATAAATTTGACTCACATCAGATCAGCTGTCCACCTCACCACATGCTTTCTGAGAAGGAACCCTTTTAACAGTCATTGGCATTAAAAACTGAAACTATAACAGCATGATATTTGAGCTCTTATTTAATGCATTTGAATCTGTCTACAGAAAATACGACAATTTATAAAAGGCCCAATTGATTTCTATTCATATGGAATTATATTTTCACAATGGATACAATTTTAAATAAGTACAATCTGATCATAGACAGTTTCTGTTATTCCATTGCAGCTGAATATACAGTCAAAGTATATCTGATTGGTTTTTTTTTTACCAATAGGAAAGTATTTAATTTTGTATATATTACAGGACAAACTTTTTAACATGCTCATTGAAAAAGATGCAACCTTTTTTTTTCTTTTTTTTGCATTTACTTTATCATATGTAGTTACTTTAACAGAATTTCTTCATGTTAGCAGGATAGGACATAAAACAATTGTTTTAAAGTAACTATATATGATTAAGTGAATGACCAAAGCAGTTGTATTATTATTATATATATATATTTTTGGTGCTAGTTTGATTCTAATCTTTTCAAATGTGTTCATATCAATACCCTTTATCATTACTTTTAAATATACATTGCTTTTTCATTTGATAAATGACTAGCATTGGGTCCTATGCACCATCATAGTCTTTAAATTACTTCATTAATATAAAGAAATGCATAAACTGCATTATTTGAGTAGGTAAATAGCTTTGAAATGAAAACATACAAAATTAGAGCAACTTGTCAAACGTTTTGCACAAACAAGCGTGAAATCATATAAAGCAATTTAAATAGTTATTCCCTGATTAATACTACAGCTATAAACGGTTCACTTCCTTGTTTCACTTATCCTTTCGAACAGAAACAATGTAAGTGGATACAAACAACATGCTGACAGAGCTCAGGATGCTCCCATCACCTGCACTGGAACGTGATGCTGTTTAAATGATTGACCAGGTGAAAAAGGTGAGGGCACGCGCACCTTTATTGACCTCGAGACACTGTCGCCTAATTAATGTCTCTATGCAGGAATATGTCACGGTTCTGAACTTTTATTATACAATCACATCACGTTGATATCGCACAGGTGAGTATTTTTATACCTTGAGTTTAGATTCAGATAGTGATTGCAGCGATAGTCTGGTTATTGTAGCTACACGTGAGTTTGTTTTCATGGAGATACAGGAAGTGGCCAACCTCACTGCAACCGCGAGCGGTTCGCTGCGAAAGCTGGAGCCCGCGCGCTTCGCAGAACAAAGTATAGCCACTACACACAAATATGTGCTGCAAGACTGCCTGCCACCGACCTTACTGTATAATAAACACACATTTATTCAATGAGTCATGGGAGAGCTATTTCAGAATGAATGATCTGGAGATGCAAAGTTCAAACACAAATAAAATTCAACATTTTGCAAGAATTGTGGTTAATTTTAGTTATTAACAGATAAAAAAGAAACATTTTCACTTTGATTTACATTTTTGAAGTTCAGCAGGTTTATTGTTTATTTTATTATTTCATATAAAATAAACAAACAAACAATAAACATATTAGCAATCACAATAAAGAAGTTTTATGCAAAAAGTATAACGTAAAATCTTATCTTACCACCTCCAGGACTGTTATCCATCTCTCTTAAGTTGTTATTGCTGACTTTAAAAGGACTTCACGGATGTCAGGGAATGGCTGGTTTTAGAAGACCGACAAGAAAGTCAAAAAAATAGCTCCGCAGAAAACACCTGCTCCATGGAGAAACTGGAAGAAGTGGTGAAAAATGCGTCAGTGCGCATCAGGGTCTCTGTTCAGGTGCGTAAGAGTCAGTCCCTCTCTGCAAGTTGCGGCTTGGCTCTTCGGAGATATCTGGAGGACTTATTGCGTATTGCTCAGCTGCACAAGCGCGACTGTGGAGCGCGGCTGGTGGTGCACAATTCTCACACTTTCTAAGAGAGTGAAGTCAGCAAATCCCTGACCGGTGTGATAGTGTCAGACATGACATACACACCCACTGATACAAACACCCACATCAATCACGTTTGCAGGTGAGCATGGGAAATGTGACCGCCTTTTGGGTCGTCCCAGCTTGAGTAGTTGTCCTCGTATGTGTGTGTGTATGGGGAGGTTTTGGCTCACACTTTCTACCTCTGATTCCCCTTCTCTGCCCCCTCCCTCCACCATACCATCTCACGCTTTGTGCGTTTTCATTGGCGGTGATCTGGAGCTGCGGGGAAATTGATGCGCTTATTCGATCGTGCCTTGCGTTCAGTAAAGCCAAGCTGCATGTGCGCTCTACATGTGCCTGGGAGAGTGCCCTGTCCTACTGATACACATTTTATGCAAAATACAGAGCGTGTGGCACGGGGAGGGATTAGAAGATTGGAGGAGGAAGCACATGGACAAGAGGCGTGGCTCACCGTGACTGCTTGGTCTCTGACAGGCGGCAGCGCTGCAAAGCGATGATAAACACTGAGCCGTGCCAAAATACCTAGCAGGTGTCAACTTTAAAAGCCATGTGCACATGCAAATAAACATACCCTACTAGAGTGAAGACACTGTATCGCTATGCTCTTGGGGTTTAATACAATCTACAAATATTTTAACTGTTTTAAGCTATGAGTTACATTAGTTTTGTGTTTTGCCCTAATTTTTTGATCATTCAAATAAATACCACAATCATGTAATCCTTTAAAATTCTGTGGTATAATATGAAACAGTGAGCAAAAAATAATGCAGCATATAGTATAAAACCTATTTTACAGTTTGTGGAAAGCGCCCCTTAGTGGCAATGTAGGGTACCTACCTCTTTCTTTTTCACACTTCATGGGTTTAATGTAAATTTGGATCATAATGGGAGTAAAATCAAATGTTTCTGTTTCCACAAAAGATTCCTCCTCAGTTAGAAAAGAAATATGACAGTTAAAAATAAAACTTGATAAGTCTCTCTTTTTATTCTGAGGCTCAAGTAAACAGGTCTACAAACTTTGATAGAGGCTGTATAGAGGTAAATGTTGACTCATGCACAAATAACCCTGTTTTAAATGCTTATTTAGAACCTTGCAATGACTTCAGTTCACTTTCAACCCTTTGAAAGAAGAATAAAAAAAAAATCTACATTCGAGGAATGTTTTTTTTAATTGTTTATAGACCTGCGGAAAAACAGAACTGAGCACTAGGTGGATGTTCTAGGCTACATATTACTTTACAATAGAGTGTGAAAGTGTAAAATATTTGCATATACATATATATATATATAATTTTTTTATTTTTTTAACGAAAACAAGCTCAATGACAATGACCTTTAAGTTTTACAAACTGACCTGAAAACGAACTTTAAAACACTATTTAGTCCAGTGGTAACATGTAACATAACACCTAAACCTGCTTTACCCTACTCTCATCTTGCTGTTTCTTTTTTTAATTATTATTTTTGTCAGTAACCTTATTTTTATTGGGTCATGACCTCTTGGTAAGTCGGTCAGCCTATTTTAGAGTAAGCACATATATCCTTGTAATATTTTGCTTCAAAGTATTAATTCTCTTTTAGGTTCTTTTTTAATCTCACATTTCACCCACTATAAAAAAAAAAAAAAGGATTTACGCAATTTTATAGCATAACAAATTTACATTTACTTCTTAAGAATTTTTAACTTAAAAATAAATCAATCAAATAAACCTTACAAAATGCATATTCATTTATATAATAAAGTTTTATTTTATTTAACATACATAAACAACATATTTATGTATTTAGTATTCATAAAGTGCACTTACTACTTACAACTAATTATCAGGTGACCTTTATGCAATTCAAACAATAAACTTTATTTATCTGAACTAAATATGCTCATTTGTATCAATTTTGAGCAGATATACATTGTTAATTCTATAAATATAAACCTCATAATTTTGTATATAAGCTATAACAAAATAATGAATATGCACCATGTGATGTTTAGTTAACATGTTTGTGTTAAAAGGATCTAAAAAAATGTAATTGGAATTTGTTATTAAAAAATTTTTTTTTTCTTTTTTCCTTTTCTTCTTCTGTTTTTCTGCTCTATTTACATTGCAGTGTCCATATAAAATGTAAAACTCCCTGCATAATTATAATAAAGCAATTTATATGCATGAAACAAGTGGAGCAATATGGCAATTGCCGTACTGCTACACTTGTGAAAGTAAAATCTGTTGTGCTCTTTTTGGCATCAACCCAATTATTCTTATTGCCACATTGCCAGACAGGACACTGTTAAAAAAAAAAGGGGGAGGGAAAGGAGGGAAGAAAAAATAAATAAATAAAAAATTACTAAAATGTAAAAAAATGGTAGGAATATTTTTGTGTGTACTTTCATTGCTCTTTAGCTACTCTCTCTTTATTCTTCTTTTCCCCATGGTTTTCTACCAATCGATCTATCAGATGCTATTATACCAGTGTAAGGATTAGAAACAAAGTTACTTTTTAACTGTACACATTTAATGAAATAATAAAGTATTTCTAAATTGAATCTTTGGTTATACCATTGAAATTTGTAACAATCATATACAGGACTCTAAATGCAAGGGACTTGTAGTGAATCCCATTTTTACTGAGGATATTCGCTACTTTTACCAACATTTATCAAGTTTTAAGCTTAGTGTGTGAAAGGGGCCCACTCTCAAATGGAGAACTTATCAAAAAGCTCTTCCTCATTCTAATTCAGATATTCTTGCAATTACATTTTAAACAATATATTACCTGGCCTTCAGAGGTTGTTAGAAAGATAATAAATTAAAAGCTTAACTTTATAGAGGAAGAAATGTGATAACTGTCAGAAGCCTGGCTTTAGTGTTTTAGATCTGCTATACTGGGATTATTCCCACATCCTGACAAATCAGTAGTTGAAAGGTCTTGACGGGATGCACCAATTTTGTTTGTAGAGATTTGGGAAAAGATGCTCCTAAATGGCCTGAAAAATATGCTGGCGAAAATGTGAAGGTAATGTCAAAAGGAAATAAATGGTTGCATACTGAATCCCAGACAATTTAATGGAAAAAAAGGATAAAACACTTTTTGTTAAATTTAGAATTTAAGCTCATCCTGTGTGTTATTTCCTCAAAACAAGAACTTAAGACTTAAACAAACTTGTAATTTTGTATGCATAGAGTGTAAACAAAATGAAATTTCGATGCAAACAGCTTTTCAACAGTGAATGAGTAGCTTACAGCAGTAAGCTGCTCATTTATAAACTGCAGAATCTAGTTTAAGTCAAATAACAGCATCATGTGGGTTCAGTTATAAAAAAAAGTGATTATCATCAGCCTAGCATATTCATAAAGGAATGTCTTACCTCATCAAAATATTACCCAAATAAGCCATGTGGGCCAAATCAAGAATCTGGTGGAACATCATATCTAATAATGGTGAATTTGTGAAGGGAACAAGTAGGTGCACATTTAGTAATTAGATCCCACTGCCAAGCTCCGTGTTCCAGAATTTTTAAGTACTGTCTGAACCAGTAAGGAAACCATCTAACATTGCAATCCTGTTATTGGAAAACAGTACAGCCTCTTACTGCGGGCGAATGGCTTCTGTCCTTAAGAGACATAATTTAGCTGGAACTCTTTGCCATCTGATTTTATGGGGCAAAGCCTGAAAACATTACATCCTGATCCAACTTAATAGCTTCATTATTACTTTATTAGATCTTGCAATTTAATTTTCTAATGTAACATCTGATATCAGTCTAGATGGAAATGAAAATGTGTTCTAGGAGTAGATCAAATTATGATTTATTTTTACCCTGTAAGATTTTGTAATGCTTGTAGCCCTAATGTATCTACTGCTATTTTTTTTTTAATAAAGGAATTTGTCTTGTATTGTGTTTTGGCAATTATTATCTGCTATCATCCATCATGGAGAAAACCTTTCACCCTCTGCACTAGACTGTAGAGGAAATGAGCAGCTCCTTTAGTGAAAGACTTTTACCACCTGTTTGTAAAAAGGAGGTCATTCATCACTGCAGCCACCTGACTCTACAATGTGACACTATAATGGCAACAACTTGCGCAGTGTATAATGTGCAATTACTATTTAATACCCAGTGCAATAGCTATATATATATATATATATATATATATATATATATATATATATATATATATATATATATATATATATATATATATATATATATATACAGTGCATCCATATATATATATATATATATATATATATATATATATATATATATATATATATATATATATATATATATATATATATATATATATGGATGCACTGTATATACTGTATACATGTACATGCACCTCTTCCTCCTTTTGGCACCTGCTTCTTATTGACTATTGAGCGGATGTACAGTAACGAGTAAGTTTCTCCATTGCCAGATCAATCAATCAAATAACGTGTACTACTTAAAATGCTAATACAGTCAACTTAACTTACTTACAAATTTAATCATAGAAAAATCTACTAAAGCTGTGATTCACTCCAAAAGTTGGATAGAAAACCTTTAGACTTTTTATTACAAAACAAAAAAATCACAACTTTTTCTGAGGGTTTTGAAAACATGGAGATAGATAGGAAGATTTGTGTTTTACTGGACAAACATTAAGATAGAGAAGCATTTTTTTTGTGGTTTAATTACAGCTAACCTGATTGCCAAAGTATTTAAAATAGGCAGACTGATTTGCACATGACCGCTAGACGAAGTTAGAAATTTGGTCTGATATTGGATGGTAGAGACAGATCTTGGCTTTACGAAAGAGGCCACTTGGATCATTCCAAGAGGTCACTGAAAACTCATTCAAGAGGCCCCAAAATACTCAAGAATGTCTAAAGTGCTGTAGCCCTCCCCTTTCTCAGAATCCATAGTTTAATAATAACAAATACACTCTGTCTTATTTAGTCCTGTTTTTTTTATGTCATTTAATTTATTCAAATTTTCTAAATCCATTTTCAATTCTATGTAACCCTAAAAACAAAAATGTATAAACGACAAGACTAATTGAGATCTTTTAGGATGCTTGCATCCTGTAACATCTAACAGTAAATCCTGAAAAAATAAATGAAATAAAAATAGAAATGTACTGCCATAAGTACATTTCACTTTAATAATTCATAGCACAATAGCAGGTCCAACTCGAAATACTTGAAACAAAATAAGCCAAAATTAAGATGTTAGTGTGGTCTAGTCAAATTATTAATTTTTTTTATTTAAATAATCTGAACTACTATGCCATGACCTCAGATGAGTCATCAATGCTAAAAACCCTTCATTGTAGCAAAATTTAAACTATTTAATAAAGAA